GTTCCCTTTTGAAATCTTTGGCTGTTGTCATCAGTAGTTAGGTTTTTGGACTTAAGTTTCGTACTGAAATTTTTTCCTGCAGCTATTTGAAATGGCTCTCTCAGCCCTCAGAAACTAAAGTAGGAGACTCCTTTAGAACAACATATACCTCATGCTCCTCCATAAGGTAATATGTTTTAAAGGGAAAATATAGCTGCAGGGTCCAGTCCAGTTCACTCTGATCATAACATTTAATAATAGAATTAGCATATAGTTTTCAGCCAACTGCCAAATCTCTCCCTTTTCCACTTGCCCACTCATTTACCACTTATAACTTTTTCTTTTCCCATCCTTTACCCTCTTATTTCCCAGGAAAGACAGTGTGCTCTTGTAAAACAACATATGCTTCTTTATTTTATTTTATATTTATTTTATTTTTTAAGATTTTATTTTTAAGTAATCTTTACACCCAACGTGGGGCTTGAACCCAACAACTCTGAGATAAGCGTTGCACACTCCACCGACTAAACTAGCCAGATGCCCCACATATGCGTCTGTAAAGTTAGACTTGTACTGTATTCCTGGTGCCATGTTTCTTTGTTGTTGTTTTAGCTTTGTGATCTTGATCAGGTTTTTTAATATTTCATCATCTATAAAATACAGATAATCATATATGCCTTGCAGAATTGTTGTAAAAGATTAGAAATTATGTTTATAAAGTCCCTGGCACAGAGAATGTCCTCATAAAACAAGAACTTTTTTAAATCCATTGCTGTGATTTAATTTGGCAAATATTTATTAGCATCTAATCAATGCTGGACTCTGCTGAGGATGCTGAAGAAACAAAACCCAGAATCTCTGAATTCAGAAAGTTGCATAGTGTAGAAGAAGACATATAAACAAATAATAACAGAAATGTGCTAAGTGCAATAGGGATATAAGTGCTAGAAGCAATTAATTCTTTTGCCAGCCTTGCCTGTGGAGTGCTTTCCAATTATTTCTTTTGGAAAAATACTTGGTAGTCAAGATGGAGGACAAATAGAAAGAGAGAGGGGGGAAATAAACGACCCTTTAAAAGTTTCTTTAATCTGTGAGGTGCCATCCTTTTGAGAATTGATTTCAGCAAGGCACTTGATAAAATCTCTCATGAAGTCCTTATACATAAGATGGAGAAATGTGGACTGGCTGATAGAATAGGAGGTGGATTTGAAGGTGGTTATACAACTATGTCCAGGATGTTTTTCTCTTATAGTACTTTCTTTTTACTTATAAAATCTCTGGGTTGGAAGGAACCTTAGAAATAGTGTACTTTTAACTTGTACTCAAGACCTTTCTATAATCTGGTCTTTTTTTTCTTCCCTTTTAATTTTTAATTCAACAGGACAGAAAAGTATGTAGTGCAAAAATATGCCTCCCTCCTATTGCATTCCCCAAGTGTCCCTGTCATCCTCCCCAGAGACAAACACTATTAATAGTTGCTTATGAGGGGAAGGAGGGAGGGAGGGGAGAAAAAAAGTTGTTTGTGTATATGATCTTGTTTTATTATGCATATCTTTTTACACCTTGTGTTATAGTTATTTAGTGTATGTGCTATCCCCCCTAGTAAATTGTAAGCTCCTTAAGAGCAAGGACCCTGGGGCACCTGGATGGCTTAGTCGGTTAAGTGTCTACCTTCGGCTTAGGTCATGATCCCGGGTCCTGGGATCGATCCCCATGTTGGGCTCCCTGCTCAGAGCCTGTTTCTCCCTCTACCTCTGTAGCTCCCCCTGCTTGTTTTCTCTCTTTCTCTATCAAATAAATGGATAAAATCTTAAAAAAAAAAAAAAAAAAGCAAGGACCCTACCACATAATTTCCTATATATCCCCCAAATTATTTGCACATTGAAGATTCTCAATAAATATTTGCTTGATTAAGTATTTAAAGGAGATTTGGAACAGAAAGAAGAAGACAGGCTTATCTAGTAAAATGCCACAGGTTTTTGTCCTTGGCCATGTCATTTATTATAACCATTTTCCTCATTGACTTAGGTGAAGATGTAGAAAGCATGCTTGTCATATATGCAGATAACACAAAGCTGGAAAAGAGAGCTGATAACATCAGATGACAGAATCAAGACTGCAGATGATATCAACAGACTAGAATGTTCAGCTGAAAAGAACAGAGATAAATATAAAGTCCTGTGTTTAAGGGTGGGAAATAACTAACAACTTAGTTAACCAAGTATAGAATTAGGAGACTTGTCTTTATAATATTTTATTTGAAGATAATTTGGAAGGGTAGGGGATGGATCTTAATTACCTTTAAGCTCAATTTAAGATTGTCAATAAAGCAAATACAGCCTTGGCTGGATTAGTAGAATATGAATCTCAGTGGGTTAGTTTGTGGTTCTTGTGTTCTCTCAACTGGTCAGACTGCTTGTTGAGTATTTGGTCCATTTTTGGGTTCCACACACATAGAGAGAGACTGACAAATCGGGGTGTATGTAAAGGAGGTCAACTAGGAATGTAAAACTTGGGTATAGGAAATCAGACTGATCTATATCTCTCCTGGGTTCTACCACTTTACCATTTGTGCTAGCTGCAAAGTCAGTGCCTCTGAGTTTGTTCCATACCTTTATTTTTTTTAAAAGATTTTATTTATTTGGGGGGGGAGCATGAGAGAGGGGAGGGGAGAGGGAGAAGCAGACTCCCTGCTGAGCAGGGAACCTGATGCGGGACTCGATCCCAGGACCCTGAGATCTGGACCTGAGCTGAAGGCAGCCGCTTAACCAACTGAGCCACCCAGGTGCCCCATGTTCCATACCTTTAAAGTAGGGCAGAATAATAATACCAATCTAGAGGATTGTTACAAGGATTAGAATTAACCTAGGCAATCAAAAAGTATCTGTAATCATTAGAGATTGGATTAATGACTAGATATAGTCCCTGCTTTGAAGGAGGTTACATTTCAGGAGACAACTGAGTAAATCTAAGATTGTAATGTAGCTTAAATGTTCGGAGAGCTGACTTATGGAAAAGGGGTAAACTTACTCATATAGCCCTCAGTAAATACAGATTGAGCTGGATTGTTGTGTAGCAATAGAATGAGTTTCCCTAGGAGGAAATGAATTCCCCTCAGTGAATGGATATAATCAAGTTGAGACTATGATTACTTGTTGGGGATGCTTATAGAAGGCATTTTTTATGAGTAGAAGGTTGGCTAGAAGGGTAGGCAGACTATGAACAGCTGGGGGCCAAATCCAGGCAGACATCTGTTTTTGTAGTTTTATTGGAACATACCACACCCCTTATTTATGTGTTGTCTATGGCTGCCTTCTATTACAGTGTAGAGTTGGGTAGTGTGACAGAGACCATATGGCCTGCCAAGCCTAAAGTATTTGCTATGTGGCCCTTTAGAGAAAAAGTTTTCTGACTCCTGGACTAGATCAGTGCTTTACAACCTAAATTATTGTGAACTGATAACCTTCCTAAATTCTCTGGCATGGGGATTTCAAGTCAAGGGCGAAGAAGGCAAGATTTGAAGTGAGATGGTTATAGTTTTTCTGGTTATTGCAGGGAATGAAGACTAGAAAACAGTTGATTAACCTCCAAGATCTTTTAAGAGACATTTTATAAATAGATGCCTTTTGGTGTGAGACAGAGTATTGGTATGCCACCTGGGCTAAAGCTGTCTATACCCACTAGCACTGGGAGGTAGTCCTAATATAGTGGGAAAAACTGGTTATGTTAACCACTGTGAACTTGTTTCCTCTCTTGTAATTGGAGCACTTTGTAAAGATTGGAGCTAATGTGGGTACTCAGATAGATGTAGCTATGTATGTCACAGAACACCTCATTGCAGTGTATAGTCACACCAGACAGAATTTTGGTTGGGAAAGTATAAAGGGATTGAGTGCTGCTAGTTGGGGTACTACACAAAACCTTTCCTTATGTGGACTAGATCTTTATTTTTTTTAATTAAAAAATATATATTTTTTTCAAGATTTTATTTATTTGAGAGAGAGAATGAGAGAGAGCACATGAGAGGGGGGAGGGTCAGAGGGAGAAGCGGACTCCCTGCTGCGCAGGGAGCCCGATGCGGGACTCGATCCTGGGACTCCAGGATCATGACCTGAGCCGAAGGCAGTCGCTTAACCAACTGAGCCACCCAGGTGCCCCTTAAAAAAATATTTTCAAAAGATTTTATTTTAGAGAGAGTGTGTGCTCCTGAGCATGAGCAGGGGGAGGGGCAGAGGGAGAGGGACAAGCAGACCCTTTGGGCTCCATCTCACAACCCTTCACAACCCTGAGATCATGGCCTGAGCTGAAACCAAGAGTCGGATGCTTAACTGACTGTGCCAGCCGGGCGCCCCTTGACTAGATCTTTAGATCTCATGGCAACAGGGGGTAAAAAGATCTCATTAGCAAATACAGGAATATCTTGTGGCTGGCAATTTCAGGCAATACATTACAGGTGTTAAAAGGCAGAGGTTTCCCACATAGCTTCTTCCAGTGGAATAGGATTTTATTTTATTTATTTTTTTAAAGATTTTATTTATTTATTTGAGAAAGAGAGCACGTACAAGCAGGGGGAGGGGTAGAGGGAGAAGCAGACTCTGCTGAGCAGGGAGCCCGATGCAGGGCTCGATCCCGGGACCCTGGGATCATGACCTGAGCCGAAGGCAGACGCTTAAAGACTGAGCCACTCAGGTGCCCTTGGAATAGGATTTTAAACTTTGCTTCTTCCCATACATTTTGTCTTTTATATTTGGAGTCTCCTGCCAACTAATGGTTTTCTTTCTACCCCTCCCTCCTTCCTTCCCTCCCTCTCTCTTTCTCTCTCTCTCTCTTCCTTTCTCTCCCTCCCTCCTTCCCTCTCCCTGCCTCCTTCCTTCTCCCCACTCCCCCCACCCATCCTCCCTCCCTCTCTCCCTTCCTCCCCTCCCTTCCATCCTTCCTCCTTCCTTCCTGTCTCTTTCTCCCTCCCTTCCCCTCCCCGTCTCCCTTCTCCTCCCTTCCCCTCCTCCTTTTTTTGTGGAAAGTGTTGACTCGGAGACAAAAAAAGACCAAGAGCAAGAGTGACAGTGGGACAGCTGTCCAGACTTCCCTAGACATTGACAAGTAAGTAGGTATGCTGTGTTCTCGGAGCTCTTTTAACATACCATTGTTTGGACTGAATAAAGAGACCCATTCCTCTCCTACCCTGGTTTTCCAATCACTTCATTGCTTTGATGTCTGAATTTATTTTTCTTATTCCCAATTTATGTCAGTGCAGGTGGCCTCTGTATCTTTTTTAATTACCCTAAAAAAGTCCTGCCACCCATTCCATTTCTACATTGCTCTTAGTTTTCTGTTTTCTTTGATTTTGTGTATTGGTGTTGGGTACTTTTGGGAAGCAGTGAACTATTTTTCAGTATAATAGTACAGAAGTTGAGTTGCAAAAGGTTGGGCAATATAGGTGACTTCCTTGGGTTGTGGGTTGCAGCTTGACTAAGAAAGTACATTCTAAGGGGTGGTTAGGTATAAGTGATGCCTTCTGAAAGTAAAGACATTACCAACACAACATTAAATCAGTCATTAGGCAGAAATGTTTATCTTTGAAATACAGATTTTAGACCCTAAATTTCATGGCTGCTTTCCCTAATCCAGTTGAGCAGAGCGAGCTGATCACTTGTTCCTTTTGGAATCCTGTCATGTGGACATTCATCTAGGACTGTATTCATTCCACCATATTGCAGTAATTTTTTTTCTTTTTTGATATTTCTGTCTTCCTAGGTAGACTGTGAATTATTTGAAGGCAGATACGTGCCTTCATTCATGTTTATATCCTCAGCATCTAGTAAAATGCATCTGAGAGAGCAGTAACAGTAATAGCTGTTTGTTGAACACCTAATGTTATATACCAGCCACTGTGCTAAGTGTTTGATTTACTTTGTAACTCTCACAATAGCTGATAAGATAGTTATTCTTTTTCTTTCTTTCTTCCTTTCTTCCTTTCTTTCCTTTCTTTCCTTTCCTTTTCTTTCTTTCTTTCTTTCTTTCTTTCTTTCTTTCTTTCTTTCTTTCTTTCTTTCTTTCTTTCTTTCTTTCTTTCTTTCTCTTTATTTCCTTCTTTCCTTCCTTCCTTCTCTCTTTCTTTCTTTCTTTTTAAATAGATAAGGAAATAATTGAAGGGAAATTATAAATAACTGGTTAAGATCATGTGGCCAGAACTGGCAAAGCCTACCTGACTCAAAAACTTAAGCTCCTTCCACAGTGCTGCTATCTCTCATGTAGTAGGGGATTAATATATGATTTTTGCATTAATTCATAAAATTTTAAAGGTACACTGGTCTAGCTTTTCTCATAAGGCAGTTTTTTGCTCCTGTTTTTAAAGACCTCCAGAGAAAGTTTTCCTTAGAGCTAATTCAGATCTCTCTTACTGTATAGTAACTGAATAGTAATGGCCAAAAGAGAAGTCTAAAATAACAAGCTTTGGAAAGTTGTCTTTAGCTTCTTAAAACTAAGATGATCTTAAGAATCAAGCAGACCTGGCTTCTGATATTTATTAGCTATAGGACCTTGGGGAGAATAGTACCTTCTTAATAGGGCAAAAGGATTAATTGAGAAATTGTGTTTAAAGGGCTTTGTACCAGTTCTTACTACAGAGAAAATACTTAATGAATGTTCATTTTCTTCCTTTGTCCCCTGTGATTCCATTTTCACTGATGCCCAATAAACCTTACTTCAAGGACACAATTTCTCCTCTTTCTACAGATTCTACTGTTATAAAAAGATAAAAATAACTATGTATTTGAAGTTATGCAAAAGTCTCTGGCAGAACCACATGGTTTTTGGTAACTTCCTCGTTGATCTTGCAGGTTGTAGAATTGGGGAAGTCAGCATACAGACTTGATTTACTAATCAGACAAGTTCATCCACCCTGGTAAAAATGTCATCTTGATTTAATGCTCTTGGTGTTCCCTTTTCTGTCTAAATTTTAACTTCCCTTTGAAAAAACTATTACACTTAATTTCAGAAGAGTTTGACAGAATATTTTATGTCTGAAGAGCAATCAGCATTGTTTGAGATAGTTAGAAGAACTGATTTCATTACCATCCCACTGCTGCAACAGCAGGATACGGAGAAACAGCCAGGGAAAACTGCTAATCACTCAGTCCTTTTGATTGGCGTCGGGTTAGTTTTATTGGTGATCCCGCTGAGCGAATCTGCATTGGTTGACATGTCTCCTCCACAGAATAACGTAAAAACACAATTGAGACAGAATAACATAAAAACACAATTTGAGATATATCCAGGAGCCCAGAGGCAAAAGCAAATCTTAAAACTGCTTTTTTCCCCTTTCTTCTGATTGGCTAGAAATGAGAAATGTTATCTCTGTAAATCCCTGGTCCCATTCAGAGAGTACCAGAGTCATGTAGAGTCCTGTCTCCAGCTTGCAAGGGGTGACCAAGGAGCTGGGCCTGAAGAGTGTGGGAAGGTATGCTCAGCTATGGAGGAGAAGCAGCAGCAGCGGCTGAGGAACCCAAAGGTGTGTAAGGAATGTTTTAGGAAATTCTCCAAAGTTCTGTTCTATGCCTTTTTTTCCTTGCTCCTTCCTTTTCTGCTTATCTAGAAACAAGATTTTGTTTTAAAATTATGTTTTCTTTTAATTAAAAAGTAATACATGCTCACTACATGTAGGAAATATAGGAAATTCCAAAAAAAGTATAAAGAATCGGGAAATTATCTCCCACAATTTAGCTACTTAGAGATAACAATTTTTAGTATTTTGGCCTATTTTCTTTTTCTTCTATGCATTTTTAATGTAGACCGTGTGTGTGTGTGTGTGTGTGTGTGTGTGTGTGTGTGTGTGTGTAAACTTAACATTATAGCATAAACACCTTCCTGGGTTTATTTTCAAACTATTTTTAAAAATTATTTTTAATGTTTGTATCACACAGAAGTCACTTAACCATTCTCATATTATTGGACATTCGGGTTCTTTCCAATTCTTTTGTATTATAAGATTGTATTTGAACCATTAATCTGCATACCACTGACTGTTTCTTAGATTTCCTAAAGTGGAACTCACAGGGGAATGCATATAAACATTTTAAAATCTGTTGAAATGTACCACCAAATTCCTTTCCAGAAAGGATATCCAATCATGCCCCCCACTGCCAGGAACATATTTGAGATCAACTCTGTTTAGCACCTTGTGTGCCTGGTCTTAGGAAGCTGTGAGGTCTGGCCCCTGGTCACTGGGAAGATGAATGTGCTTTCTGGGCTTTGCAATTAGAGATCAGGAAGAGCAAATCTTGGCTTAGAGATCAAAGATAAAGCAGCAGCTCCATATTCTAGGCTTACTCACTTAGTAGTAACTGCACACTAAGATGGATAAGCCATTATCTGTCAAGACAAAAGAAAGGGACCCCTGTATTAATGGGGTGATTTTGAGGTAGTGATTTGGAGTTGGGGCTCATACCTAAGTGCCTGTATCATAGAGCCAGTTTATTCTTCTGACATCACTATCTCTAGAAGCTACCTTGAAACTCTTATTTTCTATTTTAAATGTCTCTAAATCTATCATAGGTCAAAGGCTACTGTTCTTTAATATCTTGGTGGAATAATTTGCCTTGACTCTGATTATCCATTCTTGGATAATATTCTTGGCATGAAAATGTGTTCTGTTCGTCATCACAGTTTGTATTTTTACTTGTATACCCTCATATATTAGAAAGCAAAAGACTTTTCTAGAGCTATGTCCTACATTCCTTCTGTCCTGGAGACAAGTGTGATCTGGGCTAAGGAAGTTGTATATTAGATTCTCTGCCATGAGATAACTCTTTCATCTGTTTTTCTCTGTCATAGGAAAAAAACCGCAGTGAAGGCTGGCTCCTCAGTCTCTTGGAACAGTCTGAGCACAAGACTGCAGGTGAAGACCCCAGGACCAGTTTTCTGAGCTTATGTCTCAGGCCTTCCAGTAAAAATAGCCACTGCCAATTCACTATTTGTTGGAGTTATGTGGGTGTACATTTGACCCATTAGCCAGACTTTGAGACTCAGTCTAGGTTATATCTCCCTGAAGATGGTAAGGACATACCCTGTATTGTTCATCATGTATTTCATTTCAGGCTTTATAAAGCCTGAATTTTCAGGACTTGCTGTTAAGAAAAAAAAAATATCCAGAATGACACAAGCCCCAAATACCTTCCACAGAAACAGGCTTGGAAAACCAGACATGCAGACATTTCTTCCTCCTCCTAATGTTTTGTGCATCATTTGTTACTTTTATTTTAGTGTCCCAGCCTGCATTCCTGAGGGATTGTAGGAAGTAACTCTGTCTCTTTGTGCCTAGTATTTAGGAGACAGTAGAGTAGATTGGTTAAGAGCATTCCATAAGGTTAGTAATACCAACTTCTTTTAAGGATTATATCTAGTAAAGTTCCAAACATATTCCCTGGCATAAGCAGGCTCTTGATAAATGTTAGCTGCTATTATTACTGTTGTTATTAGTTGCTGTTGTTAAAATTCACTAGATGCAGATGGAAAAGGAGCTTTTGCTTAAGTCTGGTGAGATTTGCTTACCTTCTAGTTGTAACAGTTCATTTCCACTAAGCAAATCTGTTTTGCCTTCTGATGACTATAAAAAGGCAGCCTCTCCAAGCCCTATAGCCTGCTGCCTCTAGATCAGCATGTTGTGAATCTCTGCAGGTGGCAGATTTCTCTTGGCAATTCCTTGTTCCTCAAGTCCAGATTTGAAGTAGATTATTCAGAGGTTGTTCATTCAAAAGTGTTCACCTTGATACTTTTGCAGCTGAGCCTGTTGAATGCTAATGCTCACATTTTATGGGTCTGGGGATGGGAATCTGTATAAGACTGATGAAAAACAGGGCCCAGAATACAGGAAGCACATGAGCAATGAGAAGTGGTAATGATTACAACACTATTAACATTATTACTTTTTCTCTCTTATTACAGATGCAGAAATAAAGACCAAGTCTTCAGAAACAGGAAGCTTCAGGTGAATTGGGGTATACATTGAAGTACGGCTGTCAGTAGTTCTAGAAAAGTACAGGCCTGGTCCTGGGTTCTGTGTATAGTGTGATATTCAAACTATTGAAAGTAGAAATCACCATGGAACTGTGTGACCTCTCTCTGTGCTACACCCCCCCCACCAATATCTGGGCTAAGAATTGAATGGCTAGTTCAGTTTTATGGCGTTAAAACAGGCAGAGCGCAAAAGCTGTGACTTATTCTTCCCTCCTAACCCTGGTCTTCTAGATTTCAAGATGTTTGGGAATTTGGTAAAAAATAATTAAGGGGAAAAAAAAAAGTTTGGGAATTTGGGTCTGAATTCTCATTCTCTCACTATCTAACTGTGTGGCTTTGGGAATATGATTTGCCCAGTGTCCTTATCTGTGAAAGGGGGAATGATAGTACTTATCTGATTGGATTATTACAAAGATTATATGAACTAATAGTGTATGTAAAAGCCTCTGGTACAATGCATGACACATACTTAGTGCTTATTAGTAGGTGTGTGTTGAATTCTGAATTTTTCCCCCTTCTCTCTAGGGTGCCCTCGCCAGGGATGGAAGAGGCAGGATGCAGCAAAGAGATACAGAGTTCCCTTCCACATCTTGACTTAAACGAGTCTCCCATCAAGTCTTTTGTTTCCATTTCAGAAGCCACAGATTGCTTAGTGGACTTTAAAAAGCAACTTACCGTCCGGCCAGGTAGCCGGACACGGACCAAAGCAGGCAGAGGAAGAAGGAGAAAACCCTGAATTTCTAGGGTCCAGACATTGACAAAGCATTAGCAATAGGGGTGGGCCATGGTCATTAAGTCTTAGTGGCCCCTGTTTCATTGTTGAGCAAGTTTTCGCCCTGCAGTTTTCACCACCAGCATCCACTCAGCATTCTCGTTTTGATGTTTTCTATAAGCTATACAGACGATTGTGTATAGTATTCTGTTTTATAATAATCTGATTCACTTATAGTTAAAAGAAAATTTAAATATATTTATGTTTGTATGAAATCTTATTTCAATAAGATGAAGATCTTCCCTTTTTTCTTCTGTGTTGCAGGGTTTGGGGTGGGAATATTTAAATTGTGGAGCTAAATTACATCCTAAATTACATGTTTCCAAATTAATTCTATTACTGGTCTTTGACATACTGCCTATATTCACTGAATGTATAGCGCACAATTCTGAGCACCGTGTGGTTACTCCCTTCACCTTTTCTGACATCATTGTGGAAGACGCCAAGGCATCAACTCCTACTTCTAATTTTGCTATCCCTACCATTCAGCAGCCTGTCAACTTTATTTTGCTGCATCACCTAGTTAAGAATTCTCAGCCAGAGCATAGGACCTTTGAGGGATATCTCCTGCCATTCTTACCAGGAATTTGTAAGTGAATGCTCTGTTACTAGTTCCTATGCAATTATTTTTTTCCCTAGATTAACCAGTGGGGATACCAGGCATATTCATCTATTAAAACCAAGATTAGTTCTCTTGCTGTCAAAGGTCATAGCAGCAGCAGGAAATAACTTCTATTTCAGTATGTTGGTAGAGGAGTGCACATTCTTGACCACAGTGCCCAGGAGCTTTCACTGCAGAACAAGATGTGGTCTGTCTACAGTGTACTTGCGGACTTCAGAGATGAGAGGCTATCGAATGGCAGAAGCAACTCCCTGAGGGAGATGACCAAACAAGGACGTCAAGAAAGCTAGCTTTGGCCCAAGCTGATTTGAAGATGTAGTAAAAGACTGTGGGAGGTGGCTGCTGACCAGGAAAGGATCCTGGGATAGGATAAATAGGAACATCACTCAGACTCTACTAACTTCCGATTCATCAAGTTCAAAGTTACCTTTTTCTTGATTTTAAGATGAAAATGAGGTATGTGTTAGACTAGGGCGGGGGGGTGGTCAGAGATAGCTAGGATGGAAGGCACTGCATAGGCCTTTAAGATAGTTTTCTTGCCTATGACATTGCACACAGCTCTTTGAGTTAAAGCAGGATGGCAGGCTCATGATTTCTTCCATCGTTTTGGTGTTGGATGGCACTGACATTGTGGCCAGGGTCACATAAATAATAGGTATTTTTTTTTTTTGAGGAACTACTACGGTTTTGGTAATGTATGTACCTTCATTTAATCCTCACAGCAACTGTGAGGTAGGTAGTATCCTCCCTAATTTTCAGGTGAGGAAACAAAGGCTCGGGGGAATAAATAAAGCCACTTTTGGTGTATGGCAGTGAGACCACAGTGCCCCTCATATTCAGTCCTAAAGAAAATGCTTTATTTTGACTCTAGTATTATTTTCCTGTTTTCCTTCTAACGAAAACTAGTTTATTAGTTTTGTCCCATCAACTTCATTCTTCACTAGTCTCTCTCATTAAATGGCAATTTATTGGAGGTAGAACATTATAAATGGGATAGTATGTTTACCTCTTTGCCTGAAGAGAAGAAAGGGAAAAGGCTGATTCTAGAAAGTACATTTTTTAGCTTAAAACTGGGCAATCTCCCTAGAACATGGCTTTGAAAAAGGCTACTTGTTTTATTCTCCGTGTGCCAGTGGTACTGTGGGAGAGGCATTAGTGAGACAATGAAGAGACAAAAAAAATCAGTGGAAAGAGTATCACATCAACCTGAGTCTGAACCCCTGCTTCTGATAAAGGTTAACCCCTCTGAGACTTCGTTTCCTTGTCCAAAAAATGGGGAAATCATACTTACGGGGTTGTAAGGAGTAAGGTAATGGGTATAAGGCACAGTAGCTGTCACATGAAGAAGATGATGAGGAAGTGGCAGCAGTTATTAATATGATGCTAGTTTTGTATGTCATAAGTAGTGTTTGGATGAGAGATGATAAAGTCAGAGAGATATGGGGTGCAGATGCAAGAGGAGACAGTTCCTAGAAGAGTGAGCCCTTGACTACATTAGCTTCATCAACTACCAGTCTTCCCCAACAAGTTTAGGTCCCTGGGCATTTAGAGCTCACCTAGGACCCTTAGGTTTTGGGTTGTTTTGTTGTGTTTTGTTTTTGCTTCTTTTGAAAGATGGGAAGCAGATGTTCTGCTGGTATTGCCAACTCTTGGAGAGCTGGAGATCTCCATAAACTTCACAAGCTATTACCATAAATTGGGGAAGAGGAGTTCTCTGTGTTAGGCATTGTGGTTGTGTAATTTCCTTTCATCCTTACAACAGCCCTCTAGCAGAGGCTGTGCCTTGCCCATTTCCCCTGGGCCCTCACCATTCTATTACATACCCACAATGTCCTATTGCAAAAACTTGCAGCTCTCTGCCTTAGCACATCTCTAGACTTGTGTGTGGCACAGGCTGGGAATGCCAGGTCCTAGGCCCCTGAGGCAGTCCTCAGCCAGTGAAAAATGGAAGTTGGGGGATAAATACTTGAGCCTCCTTACCTCTTAGGTGGGTGCATTCTCCACCAGAGTTCCCAGAGTTCCTCTGTGGGATTGAACCTCAGTAGCTCCCAGCAGCAACTTAATTATGTATGCTCTGTTGGTTTCCTTTTCTTCCTACCTCACTTCCAGCTCCCCTGTCAGTGCTTTCTAGATCAGGGCTGGGACTAGGGTGAGGGGCCCTCACTCTTGGGTTCATGTACAGGCAGAGTTGGCACTTATGTGAAGGTAAGAGGGCCTCTTTACATTTTTTTTTAAAGATTTATTTATTCATTTGAGACACAGATAACATGAGCAGGGGGAAAAGCAGAGGGAGGGGGAGAAGCAGGCTCCCTGCTGAGCAGGGAGCCCGATGCGGGGCTCTATCCCAGGACCCTGGGATCATGACCTGAGCCGAAGGCAGACACTTAACTATCTGAGCCACCCAGGCGCCCCTGGGCCTTTTTACATTTTGTAGCTATGCACTTAACATGCATCACCCTAATCCTAGCCCTGGCTGGGATCGCTTCCCAGTTAAGGTATCTGCACTCAAATTAGGTCTGCCTCTGGGGAAACCCAAACTAAGGCAAATCCTACAGAGAAATCGATGTTTTATGCTCAGAAAACTGAGACCTAGAGAAGTGAAGAGATTTGCCTAAAGTCATACAGCTGGTAAATGGGATGGGATTCGAACTCAGGTCTGCCTGACACTAGAGCTGATGCTCTCTGTACTTCACTACCCTACCTCCTACCTCCCACTTGAGTCCCAAAACTCAATGGAAATTTTAAGTTTGGATGGGCTCATTCTCACCTGTGAGGCAGAGCAGCTTTGGCCCTAAGCTGATTTAGTAGAAATTGGGCTGAGGGGAAGGCAGATAGTAAGTGGGTGGTAGTACCAGTGGGAAGATGGAAGAATGTATAAACCCAGAGTGGAAAGGCTGCTGAAGCCATATGCACCAGGAAGGCAGGAAGAGGTTACTTACGTCCTCTCAGTTTCAAAGCCCTGGGCTATTGAAGATGTGGCGCTTCAATTTAACAAAAATTAACTGATACCTGTTAGGTGTCAGGTCTAGATCCTGGGCCCTGGGACTCCAAGGATGAATAAGAAACATTCTCTGGGAGCCCATAGTACAATGGGGGGAGATAGATGATTTTTTTTTTTTTTAAGTAGGCTCCACAGCCAGCACGGAGCCCAGTGCGGGGCTTGAACTCACAACCCTGAGATCAAGACCTGAACTGAGATCAAGTGTCAAATGACACTTGACTCAGTTGAACTGAGCCACCCAGGTGCCCCTAAACAGATGATTTTAATAGACTGTTGTCAATGCAATGATAGAAGCCAATCCAAGACATTAGGATCAATAGACCACACTCAGCTGGGGTCAGGGCCAAGAGGAAACTCATCAGGAAAGGCTCCACAGCATTGGTGGTGACCGAAGTCTACTTTAGAGGATAAGAAAAATTAGGTAAGTCCGGAGAGGGCAAAGGGGGAGGTTATTCCAGATAAATCAGCGTGAACAAAGACTTACAGCAAGAAGCAGCTTGATGGGTATAGAAGATCTGCAAGGCACACCTGGAGTAAAACGGTGTGCGGGGAACGGTGGGGAACTTATTGAGGGCCTGTGTGCTTGGCTGCTGGGCACTGTCAGCTGTGAGAAGCAAGCCTGTGAACAGCTCAGAGTAGGGAGAACCTGGCTCCTAGCCCAACCGTGGCTGCAACCCACCTTTCCCTGACCACCAATTCCCGTTCCTCAGTTCCTTCTGGACAGCTAGAAATTGGTACTAAGGGGCTATGAAGGAGGCTTGTCGGGATTTGTCCTTCTCCTTGTTGGTCAGTGGCCATCTGGCATCTGAAGAGAACTGTTGGCCGTTGCTGTGCCTCTGCTACAGCCAGAGTTGTCACAGCTGCTCACAGACCTTTAAGCCCAAGGCACTTCCACCCTCCATAGGCCCTGACACAGACCTTCCCTGACCCCTGCTCCTGGGGAAATAGATACAGGACTTCCAGAAACATGGGTAAAAAAACCCTGGCACTACTTGTCAGGAACATATACTTACCCTGGCCCAGAAGACTGTGGACTCTGGCTGTCAGCATGAATCACATTCAGTTCCACATTCTCTCCCAACTAGACAAAAGTTGAGAGAGACTAGAACCCCAGGCTAGGCAGGATGTTATGGGTGATGGCCACTCTGTCCTCCCTATCTCCATCCCCAATTTCCCTTTCAGAGCCTGTATGTCTGTGAAATGTACAGCAGGGTTGATAATCTGGCATGTTTCCAGGCCCCGTCATGCCAAAACTAACACAAGAGCCACTGTCGCTGGTCTCCATCCTGGTGTCATATGGAGGCCATGTTCTGTCTGTAGATAATGGTAGGGTTAACTGCTAATGAGGTAGCCCAAAGTTTTAAAATATGTGTTCACCAATTTCCTGGAAGTGAAAATTCATGTAGTATGTCTAGTCTCCTATCATGGGTGGGTGTCCTAGTCTGTTCAGACTTCTATAACAAAATACCACAGATTGAAATAGTTTATAAACAACAGAAATTTATTTCTCACAGTCTGGATGCTGGAAGACTCAGATCAAGGTGCCAGCATGGTTGGGTGAGGGCCCTTTTCCAAGTTGCAGACTGCCAACTTGTATCCTCTCATGGCAGAAGGGGCAAGGATGCTCTCTGGGTCCTCTTTTAGGGGGGCACTGACCCATTTATTAGAGCTCTGACCTTATGACCTAATCACTTTTCCAAAGGCCCCATCTCCTAAAGTCTTCAACTAGAGCATTAGATTTTCAACTTAATTTTTTTTTTTTTTGGGTGGTGGTGGGGAGAGATATAGATATTCAGACCATAGCAGTGGTCATAATGATGCCCCAGGGTTCTATGCATTCAAGACTAGTTTGGGGAAAACCAGCTTTGTGGCCAACAACTACTGTAGCCTGAGATTCCCTTTCCCCTTCTGGTAGAGAGGACCCAAGCTGTGAACCTACACCCCCTCTACCCCTCCTTGGCCTACCATCTCAAGGCTAGACTCCACAGTCTGGCTGCTACCTCTCCCATCATATATCTGCACCTACATGTATCTTTAGGTCTTTGGAGTTGAACTCCATACCATGAAGGTGCCTTGTGCTCCAGATTTTGTACATGCTCTTCTCTTCGTGAAGGATCACCTCTGCCAGCATACTGCTATTCTTCCTTCAAGGCTCAGCTTCCTCAACTTGCCCTGTCCATTCTAGGGCAGAGTTAGCCTCTTCCTCTTGTGTTCCACGCTGCCTCTTGCTTGTTAGTACTTAAACATTTTGGAAAACTGCCTATTGTGCTGTATATTTCTCATGCTAGGCTCCTCCATCTTTCCAGAGGTGAGCCACCACCTCAAAACTCAAACTCTGAGTAAAGTGGGTGGAGTATTACAGAGGGGATGTCCCAGGGTCCTTGACCTAGCTCAGGGTTCCAGCTTCCTGCAGTCATCTTGCTTAAGTTTGCACCATAGCCCTGCCTACCCTGGGCTTCTCTTAGGGCAGACTCAGAAGGAAGTGCCCCTTCCTGAATTAACTGATAGCTAGATAGTGGTGGCCAAGGAAGAGGGTGGGACGTTACAACGCAGGTGATCCGTGAGTTTCGTTTTGGGGTGCAAACCAGGTCAGTGGGATGCCTCACACTGAGAGAGAAGAGCTCACGCCTGAGGAAAGTGACCAACTGCTGCTTCTCCCGGGTAAGACCCTCCTCTAATTCTTGCTTATTTCAGCCCCATCCTCTCACCTTCATCTCTCCAGCTTGGCCCATGCTAGCTGAGTAGAGGCTGGAACAACTAAGCCAGCTGGTCCTCAATGATAGCTCCCATCCTTGGCCAGGGTCCCTGGGATCCTTTTCAGAAGGAAGACTCACCTCCTGTATCTGGTTCAGCTGAGTTAAGCTAAGAGGCCAACTGTTACTCAAACATGTGCAGACCCTGGCTGAGTTCTGGGAACCTAGTGATGTGGGAGACATGTCCTTCCCCACCAGGCTCAGCTGGAAGAGGCAGACATGAGTACATTTACTGGGAGTATAAATACTGAGGTTTCTTGGAGGAAGCTTCACAGTCTCTGGCATATAGAAGTACTGAATAAATGTCTAATAGAAGAGTGAATGAGTAAGAGAGTAAATGAAAGAATGTTCGAGTTAGCTGGGCCTCAAAAGGAGAGTGAAAGCTTACTCTTTGTGTAGTGATTGGCCCTTTCCTAAGATTATAATTGCCTCAGTTACCCCATTTTACCTTGAAACAGACCTGTAACATTCTGGGAGTTAACATTCCTATTTGACAGATTTGGAAATTAGGTATATGTGACTTTGAGGAAATTTGTTGGAAACTGATTCCTTAGTTCTCTGAATAAGGACACCCCCAACCCCCCCCCCCCCCCCATTTTTTCAAAGCTGTATTAACACCTATCTATGTCAAACCCTGTGCTGGGCTGAAAATGCAAATAACTCAGACACAGTGGTTCCAGACTTGAGGAATACTGTGAATAAAGGCTGGACAGCAAGAGACAGGGTGAAACTTGTAGTCAGTGTGGCTGGAATATGAGGGGGAGTAGCAAGAGAGGAAGCTTGGGGCCTGCAATGCTAGATAAAGAGTTTTAGACTTTTTTTTTTTTTTTTTTCCTGTAGCGGGAGCTATCACAATGTGAAGGTTTACCTCCTTTCTTAGGGAAGATAGGGCTGGGGAATGGCATGATAAAATCTGTTTTTGCACAGTCATTCTGGTGATGTGTTGGGAGTTGGTGGGGCAGGGAAGTGGACAGTATTCAGTTAGGAGGCTGTTGAAATAATCAGATGGGAAGAAGATCTAGGGCAGTGGCAATGGGAATCAGGAGGAGAGGATACATGGGAGAGCACTTTCTGTTCTTAGCGCCTTCAGCCTGAGACGTGATTGCATAGAGGAGGTGAGGGTCAGGGATGTAGACAGGTACCTGAATAGCTGTGTGAGTGAGCAGCCTTGATGCCTCCAGCCAAGGTGAAGGACAGAAAGAGTTTCATGGGGAAAAGTGAAGAAGAAAATGAATGTGTCTTTGGCCAGGGAGTTTGAGGAGCCTCTCCAGCACCTGCAGAGTGATGTCTAACAGACCATCAGAATTTGGGATTTGGCTCAGGACGGATTTTGGAGCCCTGACACAGAGGTTTTAATCAAAACTTGGGGGTGATACAAAGGGACTGTGGAGAAGAGGGCTGTGGGGTGGGGTGGGGCATTGTTAAGGGGGAGAGGAGAGAAAGAGTTATGAAGATTTTGAGGGACTCAGGAAGGAGGCCCGGGAAAGACTGGCTGTCGAAGCCAAGGGACGAGAATTTTGTAGTGAAGAGAATGCTCATGGCTTTGCATGCCTGACAGAGGACAGTAGGGGTGGGGACTGAGGAAAAGACTGGGATGGGGCAATCAGCAGCTCATAGGTGACCACAAGGAGGGCAAATTCATGGGCATGATGGGAGTGGAAGGTGGGGAGTAGTTGCAGGGATGGGAAAGTATCTTCCCTGAAGTCTTGCTGTTACAGGAAGAGAGGTAGACTGATTCAGTGAAATGCCTTCACTGCATTTCCTTTTTCCTTTACCCCTAAAAAAGCACCTGAATCACTGAAGGCACCCTTGGGAACTTCTTGGAGCAGCAATACCCTCTAGCTTGAATTAGCAAAATACCAGACATTTCTACAGTTCTTTACAGTGTGCAAAGGACTGTCAGAACCATTAACTCCTTTAATCCTCACAAGCACTGAATTTTTGTTCTGTTATAGAGGAGGAAATTGAGGCTCAATTCAGATTCAACTAAATAAATCTGAAGGCACACTCTGCACAAGGTTCTTTTGCTCTCATTTCATTTGCCCCACACAGCTCTTTGACATATGTTGGTCCTCATTTGGCAGATTAAGAAAATTAGGTCTCCAGATTGGAGACCTGGTGCTAGCTCCTTTGTGGAGAGCTGGGTCCTTGACTCTGAGAACAGGGCTCTTTCCATTCTGCATCACTATACCCTTCAAAGCCCACCCGTGAGCTGATGTCTCATGATGCACATTAAATTTCCTAAAGCATTTTTCAAGTCTTATTTAATTCTTGCAATAACCTTGTGAAAGATATTTCTCCCAGATGAAGAAACTAAAATTCAAAGAAGTCATAAATGACCTGCCCGGAGTCATGCCACAAGTGGAACCCCTTTCTGAAGTGCAGATGCATCCCCGTTCACTTCTCCCTTCAGGATGAAATTTGTACACCTTAGCTTGGCCTGAAGGCCATCCATAGTGCAGCCTGCCTGCTTCTCCAGCAGGTCTTTGGCTCCTTGTTACCTCACACCCTTTGTTCCAAACCTCTCGAACATCCCTGAACTCCCAAGCACAGTGGCACGTCCATCTCTGTTAACTGCCCACGTCAACCATACTGTGATTATTGGTAAGGCTGTGAGATCCCTCAGGACAAGGCCGATATCTGCGTTGTACTCCAACATCTGGCACAGTAGGCATCAGGAACTGGTAAATGTAAATGAATGACAGAATGAATAAATGGCATTGGGATTAGAAATCAGCCTTCCCAGTGCTCTGCTAATATATGTGTTTCTGGAAAACGGGCCTTCTGCTTGATTACTAAAGGATCATTGATGGTCAGAGGTTCTGAGCTCTGCCTACAGCTTTCTTTCTGGTCCTCTTCTGAGGGACGAAAGTTAAGGGCCACAGCCTCTGAGGGCCTGTAGACTATGTGGTTCACCCGGGCTGTCCCTTTTCTCCTATAGGTGGCTACCCTCCATTGTGGAACCACATGGACTCTCTTGGGTCAGTAGGGTTGCGGCAAAGGGAAGGAGCTCCTGGCTGTTCCCAGGAGGGCTTGCCCTGCCCCTCAGACAGCTCTGAGCTGGTAAGTGCAGCACTGGGTTTCTGACTCATGCCTATTCAAGGCTAACAAGAGCAGGATCAGTTTAAGATGCCATGGGACCATGGGCTCACAGCCGTGCAGCCCTTTCTAGTTTATCAACCTTTCAGATCTGATCTAGTAACTATCTCCTTTGTGGCTCCACACAACAGCAAGGTGGGGATTATCTTCTCATTTACAGCTGAGGAAGGGGGCTTAGAGAGGTGAACTGATTTGAGTTTTAACTGACAACAGGAGCTTGGGCTGAGGTATTTCAGTTCCAAAGGTATTACTTTTGCCACTTTGCCACACAGGTGCTGCCCCTGCCCTGAATGGGTTGACACAGTCTAGAAAGGACGCTCTTGGGGTTTTCAGGTAGAAGACTATATTCTTAAGGCACTTCCTTCCCCTATTTCTCTAGTTACTCCTGCACATCTCCCTCCCTTCAACATGGCTACTGCAACAGGCACACAGAGATGATTTCAGTGCTGAACTCAACTTGGAGGTTATTCTTCAGCATTATCTATATGCCTCAGGTTAGCTCAGACTGAGTTTCTCTTCTCTGTCATCTTGACCAAGATTTAGAAATGCTTGCATATCACACCATTAAGCAGGAAACACTTGTGTAAGTCATTTCGTATCTCCTAGTCTGTTTCCTCATCAGTAAAATAGAAGAAAATAAAGTCTAATCCTTCTACCCCCTGGAGGATTAAGTGAGCTAATGGTGATAGAGGACCTGTACAGAGGAGGCATGCATGAAAGGGTTCTTGAATTGTTCCCTGCAGTTTCTTTAGTTTTCCAGCTTGTTCTGACATCTGCTGGACTTCACTTATTGTCCAAACTGTGGGGGGCATCACCCCTCACTGCTTCTCATGCTCCCACTTCACCCTTGTCCAGTCTCTTCCCCAGACCCTGCTGTAAACATTTCCTTTGTATGCAACTCATGGCTGGGCCACAGAAGTGAGAAATGACATGGCCCCTGGCACTGGGGACTCAAGGGCCTTCTGAGTATTATTATTTTCTCAGCCCTATTCCAAGGCCACACAGCCAGGAAAAGTGGCAGGGCAAGGACTCAGATGTAAGTGTTCTTATCCTATGGGGTTTCTTCACTGCAAACTTTATTAGCTTTGGGTTCTTTTCAGGTGAAATTGCTGGTTTTTATAAGGCTTCACATTCATGTGGAAACACTTCTTCAGTCAGATCTGGGTTGAAATCCCATTCTGTCCCTTAATAGCTGCTTGGGTTATGCAGATGACTGTTCCTCTCTGAGCCTCAGTTTCCTCATTCGTAACATAACATAGGAATAACCCTTCCTAGTGTGCATGGCTGCTAGAAGCATCTTCTGTAGTGTAAACAAGGAACTGAACATCTGGCACTCCAGTTAAGATCATTTGCCTCCTTAGGGATCTGTTTTCCATTCTCTTCCTAAAGCAGAGAGGTGGAACTGAGTCACCCCCATCTCCCTCACTGAACAGCCTCTCCTACCTCGCTCCCCCTTCCTCCTTATTCAAATACCTGGTTGGTTACTTTACAGATACGGGTCCAGTGTGGGGTAGTGGGTCGTAGGAATGGAATTCCTGTGGGGCAGGCGGTGAGGACCTGGGAGAGGCTAAGGCCAGGAGGATTAGAGTCACAGGTTGGGACTCCAGCAAACCCAGGGAGGCTGCTGCTGTCTCTTTGAAAGACAGGCCAGAGGGTCATCTGCGGGAGGTTTCCATATAGAGGTGGAGTACTGGGGCTCCTCTTAGCTCCCCCACAATGGGCTACTGGTGGAGAAGAACCTTGGGTGTGCCATCCTCTGCTTTCTGCCTGCCTACCTGTCCCATCGCTCTGATTCACCCCTGGCCCAGGCTTCCCCCAAATCCATTCCCTCACTCTGAAGAAAATCCCTTTATCCTCTTCCCCAGATCTTCAAATGGCTTGTTCCCTTCCTTTATTTAGGTCACTTCCTCGGGGAGAATTTCCCAGACCAATATCCAAAAATATCTTTTCCTCCCCTGGTCACTCTCAAACTTCTATTCCAGCCTTAAAAAAAAAAAAAAGGTACCGTTACTACCAGAACCATATTATATGTTTATTTGCTTATTTTCTGCCTCTATGCTGAAATCTGAGCTCCACAAAAACAGAACTCAGCTGGTTATGCAACATACAGTGCTTAGAATAGTGTTGGGCCCCTAGTAGGCGCTCAATCAATGTCTGTGGGAAGGATGGCTGACTGACGGCAGGACTGTCCTCCACAGTGTGGCCTCCAAGTTCTTTTGAGCTGAGCTTACTTAGGCTCCAGAGTCAAGTGGATTGGAAGAGGGAAGCACCTGAACGTGAAATTCATTCCCACATTTGTTCATTTGTTTGCTCATTCAGTGAATGACAACTCACTGAGCAGCTCACCTCTGGGTACTGGGGAGCCAGAGTGAATCAGTGGTATGACAGGAGAGGCCTCACTAAACCCTGAATTCCAAGAAATGGAAGGGGCAGGGGACATAGGGATCTGAGGAGGAACCGCCAGAGAATGGAGCAGGAGGAGGAGGTGGGTGGGTCTCCCCTCTAGGAAGGAGCCTTCTGAGATGGCAGGAACTAAGTATGGGCTGTGGGCAGCAAGAGAACCTAGGTGTGTGAAGAGGTAAGGAGTGGGGCTGGGCAGGTGCTGGGGAGACCAGCAAGGCTCAGAGAGGGCTTAGGCAGGGCTCTAGTCAGCCCCTGGGAAAGCTAAGGGAGGTGCTGGTCTGGACTGGTAAAGGGGGGAGCAAGCTGGGCAGGGCAGGGCAGTCCTGGTTGGAGTCAGGAACTTGGGTAGGCAATGGGGCTCCTGCCCAGATATTAGCCTGTTTCTCCCCAGGTGTTGGAGTGTCTACAGCAATTCAAGGTGACGAAGACACAGCTGCGGCAGATCCAAGCCAGCCTCCTGGGCTCTATGGAGCAGGCACTGGGGGGACAGGCCAGCCCTGCCTCTGCTGTCCGGATGCTGCCCACATATGTGGGGTCCACCCCACATGGCACTGGTGGGTGGCATAGACCAAAATGGGTGGCCAGGCCTGGGAGAGAATTCTGATCTGGGGGAGGGAGAAGTTCCTTATCCCTCTTCCCAATAAGGTTCCCAACTCTGAGCTCCCTTAATGAGACTTTGCAGTCCTTGGGGATATTTCTGAGAGGCAGAGGGCTTGGTCTCGCCAACTGCATGCTTTTCTGTGTCCTGTTTGCCCCAGAGCAAGGGGATTTTGTGGTGCTGGAGCTGGGGGCCACAGGGGCCTCACTGCGTGTTCTGTGGGTGACCCTGGTGGGTATTGAGGGACATAGGATGGAGCCCCGGAGCCAGGAGTTTGTGATCCCCCCAGAGGTGATGCTGGGTCCCGGTCAGCAGGTAAGGGCTCACTGCCTAGTCTCTGGGAACTGGCTGGGTGGCTGGGGCTCTGGTGGGCAGAGCTGAGCCCCCAACTTGTCCCACAGCTCTTTGACTTTGCTGCCCACTGTCTGTCTGAGTTCCTCGATGCACTCCCCGTGGACAAAGAGGGTCTGCAGCTTGGGTTCAGCTTCTCCTTCCCTTGTCACCAGACGGGCCTGGACAGGGTGAGGCAAAGTGGGCATGGGGACAGTAGGTGGAGGAGTTGCAGCCCCATGAAGGCTGTTGGAGGAATGACCCAGCTTTTCTGCCCCCAGAGCACCCTTATTTCCTGGACCAAAGGTTTTAGGTGCAGTGGTGTGGAAGGCCACGATGTGGTCCAGTTACTGCGAGATGCCATCAAGAGGCAGGGGGTGAGTGGAGGCAGGGGCAATGGGACAGCTACCTGTGTGGCTGGGCCTGTGCTTCTGGGAAGGCCTGCTTTCCTTTTCTATGTATATCCTTTATCCAGTTTAACCCTGGGGTAAATGTTGCTACCATTCCCATTTCACATAAGAAGACTGAGGCTAAGAAAGGTCAAATAAATTTTCAGGATCATAGGGCAAAACAAAGATGAAAAGCCTTGACCCTGTCTTCAAAGACCTCACAGTCTAGTGGGAAAGCATTCCGACAAAGCATTGTCCCTGTCAAGGAGGTGGTTCCAGTGACTCTGATAGCACTGGGAAGGACACACCAGGACTGGGGCAGGGGCTTGAAGGAGGAGTTTGCCAGGGCATAAGCTGGGGCTGGGGTGGAAGGTCTGTTTTCAGAGAAAGGTATATGCAAACACTTGGATGCCAAAGAAAGGTGGATCTGGATCCATCTGGACTAACAGCAGTGATGCTAGTGGATGGAAGTCAGGGCTTAGAAAGCCAGGTACCTACAGTGCAGTCTTCAAGGTGCCGCGCTTGCTCACAATCATCTTGGTCCTGTGGGGAGCACTGATGTTCTGGAGGTGATGACTGAGGTTGGGAGCCTTTGAGAGCCCCAGGGCCTGAGTAGGGGGTGGAAGAGACAAGGGGGAGTGTGGGATGGGAGGAAAATTCTCTACAGGGGGGGAGGACCTAGAGTATATGTGTGGGCATGAACACACATTGTGTTTCATGGACTCTGAGCACCTCCATCAAAGCCAGGGCCCCTCCATCAAAGCCAAGGCCCTAGCCTTGCCCATCCCCCACACTGCCCACTTAGGTCAGCCATGACTTCGGCCCTCTCCATTGTCTAGGCCTACAGCATCGATGTGGTTGCCGTGGTGAATGACACAGTGGGCACCATGATGGGCTGCGAGCCAGGGGTTGGGCCGTGTGAGGTCGGGCTTGTTGTAGGTGAGCCATGGGTCATTTGTGATGATGGGTGGGGGGTTACAGCTACCTGATGGGCAGGTCCTGATGGATTCATCCCTGCCAGACACTGGCACCAATGCATGTTACATGGAGGAGGCAAGGCATGTGGCAGTGCTGGATGAGGACCGGGGCCGCGTCTGCGTCAGCGTTGAGTGGGGCTCCTTCAATGATGATGGGGTCCTGGGACCAGTGCTGACCACCTTTGACCATGCCTTGGACCGAGAGTCCCTGAATCCTGGTGCCCAGAGGTGGCCTGACCTTCTGCTCTAGGGCCTATCACTCTTCTGCTCCCTTCCTCGCTGCTGTCCCTGAACTCAGGCCCTTAGGCCCCTCCCTGTTGCTTGCTCATAGGGTTTCCAGGTTGCATCTTGGGGGGCCCTGGCCAGGCTCAAAGAAGGAAGGGCTCAAGATTCTAGAACCCAGAATTTTCAACCCATAGCCCTCTCTTATTCCTGACAGGTGTTAGGGATTGGGGGTAGCAAAGTATTCCCTGTCCTCCAGGAGCCCCTCTGAACCTAACCTAAGCCAGAGGGGGCAGCAAGTTCTGGATAAACACCCACCTATCTCCTGGGAAGCCATTGCTTCTGGAACCTCTGGTCTGGGGAACCCCAAAGAAAATGATCCTTCTTTTGGGGCCCTTGGAGGTGGGGCCAGGTGGGCTAAGGGCTTAAGGAAATCTCTGTCCAGCCACCCTTCCTACCTGTAGGTTTGAGAAGATGATTGGGGGCTTGTACCTGGGTGAGCTGGTGAGGCTTGTGTTGGCTCACCTGGCCCAGCGAGGGGTCCTCTTTGGTGGCTGCACCTCCCCTGCCCTACTGAGCCATGGCAGCATCCTCCTGGAGCACGTGGCTGAGATGAAGGAGTAAGTAGAGAAAGCCCGTGGGCTTAAACAAGGGGCTTCTTGGCTTGGGAGAGGGGAGGATGCTCTGTCTCCCGGGTAGCCATGGGGTTGGGGGAGGGCAGGGAGCTTTGGGGCTACTTGAGTCCCAAAGCAGTACCCTGTGTCCCTCCAGCCCGTTGGCTGGGGCAGCCCGTGTGCATGCTATCCTGCGGGACTTGGGCCTGAGTGTGGGGGCCTCGGACGCTGAGCTGGTGCAGTACGTGTGTGCAGCTGTGTTCACTCGGGCTGCCCGGCTCTGTGCCGCTGCCCTGGCGGCTGTTCTTGCCCGCCTCCAGCACAGCCGGGAGCAGCAGGTGCTTCAGATTGCTGTGGCCACCGGAGGCCGAGTGTTCGAGCGACACCCCAGGTACTGGAGATACACACAGCCCTGCGTGAGCAGGTAGCAGGAACATGTGGGTTTTCCATAAAGACCCAGAGGGCACTCTGGTACCATGTGTGCAAGGCAGTGGCCAAGAGTGGCACCCAAGCAGGGTAAGGTCAAATGGGGACAAGAGAGGCCAGAAGAAGTCAGAAGAGAGAAAAGATGCTTCTCTTTGGGTGTGTAAGGCAGGGGGACTCTTGGGGCACTGGGAGCACTGCAGATACTGGGCATAAGGTTGGTGTACAGCTGGATTTAGAACTGAAGGGATTTGAAGTGATGGGGCCCAGGGCTTCAGCAAGCCCTGGGGTTCAGGCTCAGGTTCAAGCCAGGTATGCCTGCCTTGTGTCTGTGTAGTTTCCTCAGCATCCTGCAGGAGACCGTGATGCTCCTGGCCCCCGAATGTGATGTCTCCTTCATTCCCTCTGTGGATGGGGGTGGCCAGGGCGTGGCAATGGTGACTGCTGTGGCCGCCCGCCTGGCTGCTCACCGCCGCCTGCTGGAAGAGACCCTGGCGCCTTTCCGGCTGGACCATGAGCAGCTGGCAGCGGTGCAGGCACAGATGCGGGAGGCCATGGTCAAGGGGCTCCGAGGGGAGGCCTCATCCCTCCGCATGCTGCCCACTTATGTCCGGGCCACACCTGATGGCACTGGTGAGGACCCAGCCTGAGCGTGGAGCTGGGATATGGGTTCCTGGAGGTCACAGAATGTGCTTTGTCCTGACACTAAGGATCTCTGTCCCACAGAACGCGGGGACTTCCTGGCCCTGGACTTGGGGGGCACCAACTTCCGGGTCCTCTTGGTGCGTGTGACAGCAGGAGGTGTGAAGATCACCAGCCAGGTCTACTCCATCCCGGAGTATGTGGCCCAGGGCTCTGGACAGCAGGTACCCAGAGCTTGGACCTGATGTCAGGGGCGGGGAAGGACCAGGGGCTGGGCCACCCCCTGACTTGCCCTACACCTCAGCTCTTCGACCACATCGTGGACTGCATTGTGGACTTCCAGCAGAAGCAGGGCCTGAGTGGGCAGAGCCTCCCGCTGGGTTTCACCTTCTCCTTCCCATGCAGGCAGCTTGGCCTCGACCAGGTGAGGGAGGGAGGGCCAGGAGAAACCATCCCCAAGGACTTTCCACCCTCATGCCCTTCAGGGAATGGGCAGGAGGCTGGGGAGAGGGCTTCAAGTATCCTGGGCTGGGGATGGGGGTGGGCAGAAGCACTGCTGGGCTGAGCCAGCACCTAGCCTTGGTTTCACTGGACATGGTGTGTGCAGGTGGAGAGGGTGTGGTAAAGTGGCCTGGAATCCAGGGCTGAAAAGAGGCCTGGGATGGAAAAGATTATGGATACTCCTGAGGGCTGCCAATGGGCAGGAAAGTGGAGCCAGGTTAGGTCTGGGCACTTGGGAGCAGTGCCCAGATCAGGGCTGATGAAGGAGCACATTGACTGTCTACTTCACAGTACACCACGAAGCCCTGGTGTACTGATCTAGGGGACCTGCGGGGAACAGCATTAGTTCCTATTTCTCAAAAGGGCTTATGGTTGCCCAGTTCCTTTGCCCTGTGTCCACTTCCCGAACTTGCTGTGTCTCTCTCAGGCCTGGCTTGGTGTTGGGTGCCTGACTGGAAAGGCAGAGCAGCAGGCACAGATCTAGACACAGCACGCACTAAGCATATACCTCTGCATGTTCTTCGACAGTGCACACTTAGACTTCTCAGTGTACACACCTGAGGCCTGTTATGGAGACGGATCCTCCCATATTCTGGTCCAAGCTCCCAGCAGTCTCCTCAATACCCCCAACTTCTGCCAAAAAGCCTCCTGTGAGGAGGAGCTTGCTGCCCCTCAAGTTGTCCACTGTGCTTTTCCTGAAAAGCTCTGCCTTCTCTACTCCACCCAGCCTTTGTGCAGTTTTCAGCTCTGCTCCAGCTCTGACCTCTCTCAGACACATGCTTCTGTACTTGGCTTTCTTTTACACAGTGGCCCGTTGGAATCAAGCATTCAGCAGTGTCTCTCTGCTGGTCCGCTCCACTCTAGACTAAACATGCCGGCACCATTTGATTATTCCTTGTAAGGTGTGAAAAGCAGGTGGGACTCAGTATGCAAAATCAGGTGTGCAAGAAGAAACGCGGTCCTATTCATTTTCTAGAACTGAGCTTAATTTCTGTGTTGAGCCCACGTTCTTTTGGGGGGGGGTGATAACTTAATCAATTTGGGGACCTCTTTCCCCAGGCAGGGGGCCCCTTTCAGCTGCACAGCATCCTTTGCTGTGTATGGGCAGACACTCAGGGAAGCCAGATGTCCAGGCCCCAGCTGTGTGGACTCTGCTTACTCTCTTGGTTCTTGACACCTCCCTTGACAACTCACCTTCCCCTCCATGGGGAAGGAGGACAGAGACTACTCTGCTAGTCAGATCACTCAAATCTCTTCTGTCTTTTCCCTTCGCACAGGAGCATGGCCCAGGTAGAGGCATAGGACACCTTTCTCAGGAAACTCCAAAACCTGGCTCTTAGGTCCCCCCAGCTCCCCTTCCCCAGACCAGGGGTCTTTCTTTTGTCTGGAGGCAGGGAAATACTGCCACTACTTATGATCTGGGTCCCCCACATTAGCCCTCCTTCTCAATTGCCCTCGCACTCTCTGGCTTCTGTGTTTGAGACTGTGAGCATTGAGCGCTCTGGCTGTATTACATAGGAAAAGGGGTAAAAGGAAATATTGTTGGGGGAAGCGTCAGTTCATATCTCTAAAATCTTCTGCCCCAAAGATTTTCCTTTTTTTTTTTTTAAAGATTTATTTATTCTAGAGAGAGTGCAGTGGGGAGGGGCAGAGGAACAGGGAAAGAGAGAATCTCAAGCAGACTCCCTGCTGAGCATGGAGCCAAGACCAGGGATCCCATGACCCTGAGATCATGACCTGAGATGAAGTCAAGAGTTGGACACTCAACTGACTGAGCCACCAAGGCGCCCCCCCAAAGATTTTCACACCTGCTCTGCAGGCTCCTACTTTGGGCAGAGCTGTCATTTTCTAACAGCAGGAGAATAACTTCCCCTGCCTGCTCCCTCAGAGGAAGCACACTTAGAAAAAATAGTCCTAGACTGTCAAGCCCATCACTAACTTCACAATTTAAGGTCAGTTTCTCACAATAAAGGCCTATCTGTCTTGTCTCCTCCCATCCTGCCTAGGTGTTCTGGGTTCTGGCTTTTCGTTTCGTCCTTCACTCATATCTGGAACACACAAGTGAATCTCCTGTTGACACGGCTCTGTCCCTAATCCTCAGTTTCCTTCCTCTCAATTGACACTTGCTAGTTCTTTCTAAAAGAGCAGAATTTTCTGTCATTTGGACCTCTGAGCCTTCTCTGTCCTCCCCCTTCTCATACATAGCACTCATTTTACCAGCTCTGTTCATTCCTAACCCAATTATGAAGGGCCATTCCTTCTGGGCAACCGTCTTAAAATGCCCAGACTCTCAGACCATCTGAGCATTCTGGCACTAATAATAGAAGACACAGGTCGGATGGTTATTAATAGGTTTCTTTACACTAGAAGGCTCCTGGGGAGTTAGGAGGGGGCAGAGGGCAAGGCCCTCAACCATGTGGCAGAGCAGGCATGGAATCCTGCTTGGTGAGGGGGGATAGCATGTGCTTCTGATGGGGTACAGGCTTTGGGGAGGGAGAGTGAGATTCCAAGGGGCCTTCATCTTCCTGCCCCACCTTTGCCCCCCCAGGGCATCCTCCTAACCTGGACAAAGGGTTTCAATGCATCAGACTGTGAGGGCCAAGACGTTGTGTGTCTGTTGCGGGAAGCCATCGGGCGAAGACAGGTGAGGAGTCTGCCTTCAGGGGTGCTTTGGGGCTGTGGCAGGACTTGAAGGGAGCAAAGGGTCTCCTGCTTCCTGACCTGGGGGGAGGGTGGAGTGGGTGGCTCTCTGCAGTAGAGACCTCTGGGTCCTGGCTGGTTGCCGTGACAACTGTGTTGCCCAGCAACTAGCAGCATCCTTTTGTGTGTAGGCAGTGGAGCTGAATGTGGTTGCCATTGTCAATGACACGGTGGGGACCATGATGTCCTGTGGCTATGAGGATCCCCGTTGTGAGGTCGGCCTCATTGTTGGTGAGGAGGCCCTGCTCTTTTGTGTTCCTACTGCCTGATGTTAATTCATTGCCTCCTGTTGGTTCCTCAGGTTGGACGTTCCTCTGGCCTTGGGGATATGGCACCATTCCCGCCTGACTCAGCTAGGCCCTGCAACACTCATTTGGGCTGGATGTCTGAACTTTGCTCAGCTTAGCTACTGATTCATAGTCATTTAAGCTTTCTGAGCCTCAGTTTGCCCTTCTGTTAAATGAATCTGAGCTTTGGAGTCATACAGATTTGGGTGGAAATACTAGCTCTGCCACTTCCATCTGTATGACCTTGGCCAAATCACCAGAGCCTCAGTTTCCTTCTAAGACAGAGATAATAGTAATGCCTATCTCAAGGATGGTGAGGGTGAGAGGAGAGGAAACAAAGCATGGCACAGTGCTTGGCCCATGGTACACACTCAGTGCTTAGAACTGGGTAGAGGCCGGTGGTGGAGGACAGAGAATGAGCTGTGAGGGTCCTTTAGGTAGCCCAAGTTCTGAAGTCTTTATTAAGCGTTTCTCCTCTGGCCAGATAGGGGCTGGATGAAGGGGCAGGAAGACTATACATAAAGATGGGGGAAATACCTATCTTCTCAAAACCCACCATTTGGTGGGAATTAGGCCCAGGACAGCATGTGGCAGTCAGAGAGAGCTGAATCTGACTGTACACAACAGGGTGACAAGGCCAAGATCAGAAAGGAAGTGGTCCTAACATGAGTGGGACTTGAAAAGAGTGTCTAAGTGGGGGAAGAGGACTCCCATAGGCCTTTGGGCATCAGTCTCCTAGGGCAGGAGCTAAGTGATAGCTTCCTTTTGAAACTGGGAGCTTCTTGAACATAGAGCCTAGAGTGGGGAAGTGCTCAGGAGAGGTATGCCTAGATTGCTTTATGAATAAACTAGTCAGAGGAAATCCAGGTGGGGCTGACAAGGAGACCATCTGCCTAGAGCTGACCATGTGTTGGGGAGAGGAAGGGGATATCTTTACCCAGAATGTGCTTTCTGCCTAGAATGCCTTTCTTTCTGTGCTTCCTGGCTTCAAAGTCAAATCCAAATGTCATTTCCTCTCTGTAGCTTTTCCTGGCCCTCTAGGCGGGAAGACTCAGCTGTGCTCAAGGTTCCCATGATGCTCTTTTTTGCACTTCTATTTGGGTACATACAGGCAATATCAGAGTTAGCTGCTAATTGCCCACTCCCTGGCCACTGTGGGGCTCCTCATGTCTGATTCTTGTCTATGTCCCCAGCTCCTGGCCCAGAACCTGCTAGTTTGACTAAAGATCTGGAAAGCTAGTCCAGGGAGCTTGGGCCTCTCCACTGCAGACGGCAGAGGGGCTCTCACACATCTGCCAGGGGTGCTCTGGCATAGAATGGAAGACACAATGGTGCTGGTGCTGGGAGGGGAAGCGGTGGGGGGCCCAGATGGGTTGATGCTGCCAGGGTCTGCAGAAGGAGTGTCAGGAGTGAAGGCAGACCAGGACATAGGAAAGGTTGTGAGTGTGGGGAAATGGAGAGGTAAGAAATGAGCCCAAATTTTACCATCTCAGTTTGGGAAGGGCACAGAGGGGTCTTATCTATGTCAGTGAATGATTTCCATCTCTGTAGGAACCGGCACCAATGCCTGCTACATGGAGGAGCTTCAGAATGTGGCAGCTGTGCCTGGGGACTCAGGCCACATGTGCATAAATATGGAGTGGGGTGCCTTTGGGGATGATGGCTCTCTGGACTTGCTTAGAACCTGCTTTGATGCAAATGTGGACCAGGCATCCATCAACCCCGGCAAGCAGAGGTATGGGTAGGTCTGGGCAGGGGCAGCTGGTGGTGGCTGGCACTGGTTAGGGTAGCAGGTAGGGTCTCCTGATCTTTGTGTTTCATGCAGCTTTGAGAAGATGATCAGTGGCATGTACCTGGGGGAGATCGTCCGCCATATTCTCTTGCATTTGACCAGCCTTGGAGTTCTCTTCCGGGGCCAGCAGACCCAGCGACTTCAGACCAGGGACATCTTCAAGACCAAGTTTCTCTCTGAGATTGAAAGGTGCCTAAGGCCTATATTGCCTCCTTCCACCTCCCAAAAGAATCTGTCTATTCACTTTGGGTAAAATGCTGGTTGGTGAGAGGCCCATTCCAGAGGATGGAGAACTCATGGGGTAGGAAAGCTAATGCAGGACCCTGGCTCTCTGTGCTCTATTCCTTCCTGTCCCCAGTGACAGCCTGGCTCTGAGGCAGGTCCGAGCCATCCTGGAGGATCTGGGGCTGTCCCTGACCTCAGATGACGCCCTGATGGTCCTGGAGGTGTGCCAGGCTGTGTCCCAGCGGGCTGCTCAGCTCTGCGGGGCTGGTGTGGCAGCTGTGGTGGAGAAGATCCGTGAGAACCGGGGCCTAGAAGAGCTGACTGTGTCCGTAGGGGTGGATGGGACCCTCTACAAGCTGCACCCCCAGTGAGTCTGGGTGTTGGGATGGGCAGGGAGGAATGGCCCAGTGGGATCTGGCTGGCCTGGGCTCACCTCAGCAACCCCTCCCCACAGCTTTTCCAGCCTGGTGGCAGCCACAGTGAGGGAGCTGGCCCCTCGCTGTGTGGTCACCTTCCTGCAGTCGGAAGATGGATCCGGCAAAGGTGCAGCCCTGGTCACTGCGGTTGCCTGCCGCCTTGCCCAGATGGCCCGTGTTTGAAGAAGTCTCCAGGAACTACCCTTGCTGAACCAGGGCCCAGACCCCACCTGTCCCCAGCCATGCATGACTCCCAGAATAGCCCAAGTGTGGCCCTTCTGCGGCCACTAGCCTTGACCTCTGGCTTTCCCAGAGAGAAGTAGCACTCAGGTTAGCAATATATATATATAATTTATTTACATTCACGTCCGCTAAAATCCCTACGCGCCCCGGCGGCCGGGCAAGGCTGTGTACATAAGGCCAAGTGTAAGTGCGCGAATGCACTTAAGACAGAGTCAGGGCACGAGCTTCACACAACAGGCCCCGCGTGGGGGAACCGGCCAGCCCCAGGAACGGGCACACCACGGCACGCACACTTGCCATTGTCCAGCCCGGGACTCCCATTGCATATTCACATGCCCTGTTGGGCAGGGCTCCTCCAGGCTGGGGGCAAGGGGAGGATCAGGGAGGAGCCGTTGGGTGTCCCTGGGTGGGTGGGAGAAGGGCAGCATGTGAGAGGCAGATGTGGACTGACACTGGGTATGAGAGACGTGAGTGGCCTCCGGGTGTTCAGCATGAGATGTGTGTGTGTGTGTGTGTGTGTGTGTGTGTGTGTGTGTGTGTGTGTGTGTGGTGGGTGGGGGGGCGGAGTTTGTGAGATGAGCACACGAGACATGCATGGGCACGTGCCCGTGTGGTGGTCGTGTGCCTGAATCCAGGGGCCACCCCTTGTCCAGCCAGGCCCCTCAGATGTGCCCCTACCTGGCAGGCACAGAAATGTTTGCATAAGGCCCAGCTCGGGCAGGAGCTCTGGGGGCCATGTCCCAAGCCCAGTGTGTGCGTGCATGCCCGTGTGCATGCGGCCTCCTGGCCGGGGGCAGGAGGAGAGGTAGCATCACACGCACATACACACACACAGATGGGCTGGGCCTGGCTTGGGCTCTAGGCACTGTCCACCCAGGGCCCCAGAGGCTGGGGCAAGGTCAGAGCAGGTGGCAGTGCCAGCCTGGCCAGGCAGGCCTCAGAGGGGCAGAAGTGTGGGCAGGGTCTGAAGGGCCAGTGTTAAGGGACAGTGTGTACCAGGAGGGGGCCTGTCCACACAGCTCCCCGAGTGTGCGGGAAGGGCCCCATCTGGCTTCTGCCCGTCCCTGGTGGGTGCCAAAGCTGGTGAGAGTGTAGGCGTTGTAGGCCTGGCCGGCCTCAGCACTCCGCCTCTGACACCGTGAAGAGGCCAGCATCTGGCTGGCCCAGTCCGGCTACTGCTGCAGCCAGCTGGCTGAGGTTGCCATTGGGGAAGTGCCGCGCCTCCCACAGGTTGAGAATCATGGCTGTGGGGCTGGGCTTGGAGGCAAAGAAGCTGAGATGGCTGTGGAAGGGAGGGGACAGGAGCCAGTCAGCAGCCCTGCCTCACCCCAGGCTGCACCCTTCTGCCTCTCAGTGCACCCAAGGGCAGGACCTCCCCTTGGCCAAGTGCACCGGACACCCTGGCTGCTGGTGGGTGGGGTGCAAGCCCCATCGAGCTTCCTATCCACCCCACCCATCCTCCCCCACCGGGACGGACTGTAGCAGGCCTTTGCAGCCCCTCCCTGCCCATCTCCCACCCACCTGTCCAGGTGGAGTTTCTGGGCCAGAGTCCGCCAGTCGGCACCCCGGCTACAGGGCGGGTCGAGGCTGGTAATGATCTTCTGCCGAATGAGGAAGGGGATCTTGAAGGCACTGGGGCCCACTAGGGCTGGGACCCCCCCTTCACTCTCCAGAGCCAGCAGCTCAGCAAATCTTGTGTCCTGGAGGTGGGGGAGGGGGAAGGGAAGTGCCTGTTAGAACTTTTATGGCCCAGGTCCACTGCCACCTCCTGCTGGGGGAGCACCCAAACCACCTCAGAGCATGGGGGGAGCATGGGCACTATTTCCTGGGCACCCCTGGTATGCCAGAACCCTGTTCACTAGAGCTTAGAAGGTCTCAAGGCTCAGAGGTATGGTGACCTGCCCAAAGTCACACAGCCAGTGAGCAGAGGAGCTGTCTAACCTCATTCTCCTCCTCTCTCGCCATCACCCCTCCCCAAGTCGCCCCTACTGACCACTCTGAACTCACTGTGCTCCTCTTTGTCCTCCCCACTCAGTTCCCACTGCCAGAAGCCCCCTTTCCCTCATTACTGTCTGTCTCTTACTCAGCCTTCGAGGCATTGTGCAGAGTTCCTCCTCCTAGAAACTCCAGGGCCCCCAGGCTCTGTCTCTCCCACCTGCTGCTCTCACATCCTCTTCAATCTCCACCCCGTCAGATTGCGATTGCATCTGTCTGCATCTGTCTGTTTGCATCTGCACCTCTCTCCGCGGAGACTTGGAGGAAGCTGCTAAGCAGTTTCTAGGAGGAGGTGGGCTTGGTGGCAGGATAGGCCCAGTGTGTGCTGGGTAGGAGGGAGGCACATTTCTGCAGTGCTGATGACCCCTTCTGCCCACCTTGGTGATGTTGAAGTTGATATTGAAGCTCTGCCCATCGCCTTCCACCTGCCACACCCACACCTTGCAGGCCAGGTCACTGGTGCTGGGGCTGACTCGCTCCAAGGTGAAGGTGCAGTGCAAGAACTGCTGCGTGCCATTCCAGATATGATAAAAGGGGATCTCCTGAGGGGGGCGGGCAGAGAGGCTCTGTCAGGTGTGCCTGGCCTTGGCTGTGCCCACTCCAGGCACCCTGAGCACCCTCACCTGGTAGCTGACGAGGAGCTTGCTCTTCCACAGGGAGCTGGGCACATCGTGGATGGACAAGCGCAGGTTGTGGTAACTGTCCTTGAAGTGCAGGACTCGAGGCTCCTGGATCAGCTGTCCCCCCAGCTGCTTCTCCAGCTGTACCACCTCCTGCAGCACAGCCCAGGTGGCCAGCTGAGCCTGGGGCCTGGAGCCCCCTTCCCCACGGCCGCCCCCTCCCAGAAGGAAAGGGGTGGTCAGCCCTCAGTGCCAGTGGTGGTGCGGCCTCCCCGTGGCGGGGGCGGGGGTGGGGGGGTGCGCAGCGGTACCTTGAGTGCGTCGTGGGTGTCGTGTAGGCAGTAGACTCGGATGTTGTACTCGAGGGAGGTGCAGGCCACGGGGGCAAACAGAAGCAGCTTGAGGCGCTTGGTTGCGGTCACGCTGAGGGCTTCTCCCACCAGGGCAAAGCGGCCCAGCTGCTCGGTGAAGACATAGCAGGCACCGGCCTCCAGCTGGCAGTAGTAGAGGTGGCACGGGGCCTCCTCGCCCAGGTGCAGCACATCCTGCGGGCAACGGCCTGATGGGTCAGCTCTGAGGAGCAGCCCAGCCTGCGGACAGGGTGGCTCCGGGGCCAGGTGGGAAGCCCCGGCTCCACTCGGAACCCCTCTGTGCTCAGGTGGGTGGGCTCAGGGCCATTCCTGCTCACCTCCCAGCTGCCCTCACATGACTGCTTTTTGAGGCGCAGGCTCCAGCTCTCCGGGCAGGGCTCCCCACAGTGGTCCATGACGAGAATGACCGGCCGGGTGAGCAGGACTCCAGGGGGCCCGCAGCTAACGATGGGACTCAGCAGGGTCTGACAGCCGGCTAGGGGCAACCTCAAGTGGGGAAATATGGGTGGGGAGGGAAAGGCGTCAGTGGGCTGTCCTGAGAGTCGGCTGGGGCAGGGCAGTGGCACCCCACGGTTGGGGCCTCAGGGCTGGGTGCAGCTTATGGGCAGTTCTTCCCTGCCCTCCTTAGGGCTGTGCCAGACCAAGTCTGACAGTGGATGGGTAGGGAGTGTCATGGTGACTAAAGGCAGAGGGCAGGACCCGCCCAGCCCCAGCAACAGGGCCCGCGCCCACACCTCACGTCCTCTGGCTTGTGCAGCGTGAGGTAGATCTCGTAGATCTTTCCTCGGGGTATGGCATCTGGGGGGATGAGGAGGCTGATCCCTGTGACAAAGTGGGAGGAGGGCTGGGGTTTACCAGGGCTGCAAAGACACCAAACACCCAGGAGCCTCCCTCTGAGGACTGAGCAGTGCCAGCCTGGACTAGGGGACAGAATTGCCATAGGGACTGCCAGGCTGTCCATCTACCCACATGAAACAGAGTCCTAGTGACCCCAAGAGAGGCTAAGGAAACTCAGGTGGGAAAAGCATGCCTAGTTAGCCTCAGCATAGAAAACTCTGGAACAAAAGGTGCCAGGTATGCTGTACCTACCTGACCTATCACCCAAAAGGCACTGGGTGGGGCCAGGGCACACCCTGCTTCAAACCTTCCCTGCCTCCAGCATAAGGTCCAGCTCCCTGGCCTGGCACTTAAGGCCCTTCACCTCTGGCCCCAACTGCCTTTCCAGTAGCTTCCTCAGCCCCTCTCTTGAGCACACCTCTGCCTGAGTGCCCTGCCCCCCCTGCTCTGCTCAAGCTTTCCTCCTCCCCATTGGCCCTGGCCATCTTTGGGGATAGCCATTCTCAGCCACCATGACTTTGCTCCTCATTTGGTAGTGGCCCCTGCAAGTAGGGCCGGCCTTTAACAACCTTGCTGGCTTTGGTAGCCCTCCCTGGTTTGGGAGCCATTGCACACATGTCCTCTTGTCTGGCGGATTCAGCTCTGTCCCAGCGTCTTGTAGGGCAGCATCAGAAGTGACTGCTCAGTGAGGAGTGGTTTCAGGGAGAGGCAGTGGGACAGGGGCTGCAGAGCCCCTCTGGGGACGGCAAGGAGTGGTCCTGCTCCACCTTGCTGCTCTTTTAGGACAGGGGCACCTACATCAGAGGGACCTCAGAGGCACGTGACTGGGGAGGGGAAGGAATTCGATGACTTTATCCCACCAAGTCCAAAAGCTTACATTTATGCTCCAGAGTGAGCTCTGAGGTGGGCTGGTTGGAATATCACCACTGCCCTGAAACTGAAGGCCAGGAGAGGGAAGCCACTGATGGCGTATTTACAGCTACCCTCCCTCCGTCAGCTCTGTGTCGCCTCCCGGTACTGGCTGCAGAGATCCGTGTGTGACAGCTCTCCGTGGCGGGGCTATACTTTCGGTGGGTGCTCAGGTCCAGTACTCAGCGCAGTGAGGGAAAACCAGGGGCCCTGCTCTCCTGAGGCACTCAGCCCGACGGGCGGAGAGACAAGTGGTTGGTAGCAAAGGGTGCTGGGGGACAGCGGGGGCCCGAAAGGCTGATGGTCTCTGGGCACCCACTGTGCACCTGCCCCTTCCTAAGAGCTCGACACGGACCATCTCACATCATCCAAGCAGCCCCGTGAGGGGGACATGAGGCACAGAGAGGGAGAGCGGCCAGGCCAAGACCTGAATGAGAAGTAGCAGATGAGTCAGTGAATGGGGGCAGAGGGACCTGTGTGTGCGAAGGGCAGCATGGTGTTTGGAGTGCCGAGAGTCCACCGTGACGGCCATGGGCAGGAAAAGAGTGCATGGGGGGTAAAGGCCACTGTAGCTGGCCGGCAAGGGACAGACAGGTCACTGTGGTCTTGTCACGTGGGCTGTGTGGGGGGCATTGGAGAGCCCAGAAGAGGGCTCAAGAAGGGGAGGGACATGATTAAGTCTGGCTTCACTGGGGAGTGGGTGATGCCTTGAACCAGATGAGAGGTAGGTATGGTGGCCTGAGCCAGAAAAGGCAGCGGGGCAGAGAAGAACCAGGAGCATTTGCGGAGGAAGAATGACGGGACTGGTGTGTGCCTGACTAAAGCTGTTGTGGAGGTGAGGGGGGCAACTGAAAAAGAGGAGGAGGCCAAGGTGACCTCCAGTTTCTGGCTTGAGCAACTTGACTCCGTTGTCCCTGAGGTGGGGAAAGCCAGGAAGCAGGAGGTTCTGGGGGAGGGTGGGAGACAGTGCTGTTTTAGGCACCAGGAATCTGAGGTGCTGTGAGACATCCAGATGGAGCTGCCCAGGAGGCAGCTGGGTGTATGATTCCGTCGCCCGGGAGAAATGTGGCTGGGGATGGAGGAGTGGGAGTGATCTGCACAGACATGGCGATTAAAGCCACGGAGTAGGCGAGATTGCTCTGTGAGAGGGTGCCAGGAGGGAGCGCTGAGGAACACCTACAGTTAGGGCACAGGCGCCAGAGCAGCTGGAGAGGGGTAAGAAACTCAGGGGCATGTGGGGTCATCGGAGCTGAGGGAATAGAGACTTTCAGGGTGGGGACGTCAGAGGCTGCCGTGCTTCCTCAAAAGTTGACTATGGAAAGGGTCTGTGGGTTCCCTATCACGGACCCTGTCAGAGGGTTTCCGTGAGGTGGTGGGTGGAGCGGCCCCCTGGCCAGGCATTTGTCCTCTGCCACCTCTCCACTAGTTTGCCGGCTCCTTGGGGCTGGTACCTGTCCTACCTCTGGGCCCAGGGCCCAACACAGAGTCCGGCACACACAGACTGGCTGACTGTGTAAATGAATGGACAGTAGTCCTGTGCCCTTAGGTAACAGAAGGGAGACACTCTGGCCATGGCCTCAGTGCTGGCCCCACTGCCAGCCAAGACTGGATTCTCTCCAAAACTCTCTCCCCTTTCCTTGCTGGTCTGGCTCAGCACTTGGGGTGAGTCTGAGCAGCCCAGGAAAAACATCAGAGCTGTCCCATCCTCCTCTAGGAGGGACACAAAGGCTAGTTCTGCCTCTTAGAGCTCCCCGGGGCACTCTGGGGTCCTTCCCACCTGTATTAGGGATCATCAGCCGGCCCCCGAGGAAGTTGAAGGTCCCATAGGTCATGTTGCTGGTGCCGCGGGGCAGGGAGCGGAAGTAGTTCTGGGTAGAGAGGCGGGAGACGAAGTCCTCGGCCTCAGAGGTGGGCGAGCTGTGGTGCAGCGTGTGGCGCCCACCACCCAGCGGGCTGAGCAGGTGCCCATTGGCGAGCTGGAACTTGGGGCTTGGCCCGTCCTGCCGGGGACACAGACTGCCCTGGCAGGTGGTGGTGGTGGTGCTGAGGTCTGGCTGGATGGTGAGCAGATGGGGATTGTCTGCAAGGGTAAAGACAGACTCAGGGGGTGGCACGACGTGACCTGTTGGGCAGCTCTTGGTGTGGGGGCCCGGCAGGAATGCTGGGAGCAAGGGGGCACCCCACCTGCTTTGCTGGGTTTGATGCTGACGGGCTGGAAGCCTGAGGTGAGGATGGACGAGTCGGCCACGTCTGAGTCTAGCCCTTCCTTCTTGCGGCAATAAACGAGGATGAGGACGAGCAGCAGCAGGAGAAGGCACACAGCCACAGCAATGAGGCCCACGTAGAGGGCCACGTCCTCGGGCCCGGAAGCAGCTGCGGGAAAGAGCGCGGCCTTGGGAGGGGCAGGGTGCAGGAGGCCGGGAAGGAGAGGTCAGCGGTCTACACCCCAGGAGGATGAGGCGCTCACTCCTTGGGCATCAGCACTAGCGGGGCTGCGGATGCTGGTGGCAGGGAGCATGGAGTCAGCATGTGTGCATCTCAAACCTGCATCTGCCACCACCTTGCTGTGTCACTCTGGGCAAATCACATCTCTCACTGCTCATTCAGTCTGAGGTTGCTGCTACTGAAGGATGGAGGAGGAGGGAGACAGACGCTTCCCCAGACAGCCCTAGTGGGCTGCTAGGCTGAACCTACTCTTCTGGGGCCCAGGGCAGCTGGGGCTGGCGGAAGCTCCTGGGATCCCCAAAGTAGGGGCTCTACTTACTGGGGGGGGTGTCCGCTAATCTGATTCATAGCCACGTCCCTGGGCCAGAAAGAGGGGTGCCAGGGCTTTTCTCCTTGTCTGCCTCCCCAGGCCTGAGGCCAGGCTGGGGAGGGGGTGATTGACTGCCTGGAGGAAGCTATATTGATTTAAGAAGGGCTCTGCATAATGGAAGAAATGTCCATCAGAAAGGAATTGACACAGATAATTAGGTTTTTAATTGAAAGAATGGGGGAGGGTGTGTTCTAGAGAAAAAAAATCCAACAGAGATCTTTAATTGTTAGTTATGGCCTTGTAATTAACAGGCCTCACAAGCCCGGTGTCCCCATAGGACTTGTGTGTGCACTTGGGGGACCGCGTGGAGGTGAAACTGCAGGAAAGGAGTGGAATCCAGGAACCTGGGGTACATGGGAGAGGTTCACATGTATGCATGTTTCAGGAGAGGTGGGGGAGGTATTGGGGTATACACAGGCACATGTGTGGGTATGTTAGGGATGGGGAGTTCCCGAGGGTCCTAAACTTTGGAGTGGGTACAGCCTGTGGCAGGGGACTGGTCCCTGGGGCTGGTCAGGGCCAATCCTGGCAAAATCAAGAGGACTCCTGGGGCAGAGCAGACTCACTGTGCACACAGAGATCACTGGTACAGTTTCGGGTATCCAGGTCAGTGCCCTGGCACTCCTCGCCTCCATTGCGGGGTGCTGGGTCAGAACACTCACGACTCCGCCAGTGGGTGCAGTCGAGCCCACAGGCCGACCACTTGCTCCATGGGCTCCAGCTGCCATCCACTAGACGAGAGACAGACAGAAACAGAGAGGAGGTGGTGCGGTCAGCCCGGGCAGCAGCCTCGGCAGTTTGCCAGCACGGCCCTGCTGGGCATCCAGACCTAGGTGCAATGCTGTGGTAAGGAGCACACCCTCTGGTGTCCACTGGTCCGAATGACGCATGCTAATGACGGGAGGCACGATGATGCCGGGCCTGCTTTGCTCTATCCACACTACCGGGCTGTCCTGGCCCTGGGGCAGCAAGGGAACTTGGTTCCACGCTGACCCTGTGATTCAGGCATAGGTGGTTCTGCAGCCTCAGGCGGTGCCCTGCCCCTGCCCCACACTGTCTGTACCTGAGACTCTGTGACTCAGTACCTCTGCCAAGGCCTAGCCTGGACACAGACCAAGCCCTGTTTCCAATCACACTAAACCCCATCCCAGCCTTGGACTGAGCCTGGCCTTGCGTGGGGGCGGGTGGGATGGAGCCATGGGGGGCAGGCTGGTGGGCACAATGGAGCCAGGGCACGGAGATGGCGTGGTGAGGAGCGATGCGGGAGGCAGCGGCCGCTGGTACCTGGGCACAGGGTGGCGCAGGCTGTTTTCTGGACATTCTGCCCCTCACAGAAGGCACCCCCGTTGAGAGGCGCCGGGTTGGTGCAGCTCCGGCTCCGTTTCTGCCAGCCGCGCCCACAGCTGGCGCTGCAGACGGACCACTCGGTCCACGTCGACCACCCACCGTTCACTGGCCGGACAGAGAAGGACTGGGGTCAGGGAGCGGGGGCTTCCTCAGACACGCTGGCCCAGGGGCCAGGGCGGGAGGCAGAGGGGCTGTGAGCTGGAAAGGGGCGGGCTGTGGCTGTGCTGGTAGAGAAACCCTGGAGGGGAGCCCCCAGGGCCTGGCAGTACCCGCTCCACAGCCCCTTCTCCCAGCAGGCTCTGCAAGCGCTCCGGGCAGCCAGCCCTAGCTGCAGCTCCCGTGCTCCTCCGGCCCGGACCCCAGTCTTTCATGAGGGCAACTGCTGCACCCGCCCCCTCTGCCTGCTCCTGGGGTGCCTGGAACACTCAACTTCCCACACCTGGGACACAGGAGCATGGGCTGTGATCTTCCACCTTCCCTAGACTCCCGTCCTGTGCCCTCATCTCCATCTGGACTATGTCCCTGGCCCATAGGTAACCCAAGGGCTAGTCCGCCACAGAGGACTGCCACCCTGTCCCACACCTCTGCCCAGACACACCCCTCAAGCCCTCTCCCTGGCCTTCCCAGCGAGGCCACAGCCTGGTCCACCGGGCCCTGGCTCCATGGGGAGCCACCCACACATCGTCGCCCCACCTCCCTGTGCCTGGGAGCCCCTCTGCCCCACCAGCACTGGGGCCCACCGTAGACGATGACAGCAGCTGAGGTGCTGCGGCGACGCGCTACGATGTTCTTGGCCACGCAGGTGTAGTTGGCCGTGTCGGCCAGGCGGGCCTGCCGCACCACCAGGCTGTGCTCCCTTGTGATGTACACATTGGGGTCCAGGGACGGGTCCACCAGGTCCTCGTTCCGGAGCCACTCCACCTGGGGGAGGGAGCCATGCCACTGCACTGCCCGCCCGTGCTGGCCCTACCTGGAGCGAGAGTAGCCCCTGGGGGTGTCAGGGCAGGCAGGACCCGAGACCTGGGCGCCCTACCCACCTGTGGAGCGGGCACCAGAGCCCCTCTCACCTCAGCTGGGGGGATGCCCTCTGGCGGGCGGCAGGGCAGCACGATGCCCTGCTCCAGCGACACCTCCTTGGCCAGTGGCTCCTGCTCGAAGTTCTTGCGCAAATCTGGGAGAAGGGCAAGAGTGTCCTCCAGCCTGAGTGTTTCTTGCCGGCTCAGCCTGGCTGGCCCTGGCCCCTGGTCCCGCAGGGGCCGTGGCACATGGCAGGAGAAAGTGCCAAGTGACTAGGGGGACATGGGGGTGGCTGGGCAGTGTGCAGAGGCATTTTCTCCACCCATCAAGGCAGGATCTGAGGTTTTTTGACCAGACCCTTACCCCTGGTGATACCCTCCGTCCACCCCTGACCAAGGGCCAAGCCCTGGACTCACAGGCAATGCGGATGTAGGCCTTCTGACTCTTGGTGGTGCCTGAGGAGCTCCACGCCACACACTGGCACCAGTACTCCTCCAGCCCGAACACCTTCTCCACCTGCTGCCTCGAGACGTTGATGCGGACCTCCATGGCGGGCAGCCCTGGGGGGCAGGAGGGGTGGGTAGCCAGGGTCCTGGTTGTGCCAAGTCTCACACGGTTGTTGCCGCCCAGATGTGAGGGAGTCCCTCCACCACCATGGCTACTCTCTGCTCAGAAGGAGAGTGGACCCCGAGGGCAACCCTCAGCCTGGAAGGAACTCTGGGGGAGCCCTGCTGCGGGGTGCTCCATTTAGATCTCCTGAAGGCCAGGAGCCAGTCCTTAGCACTTCCATTCATTATACTTTGTTACCCAACGCCTGTCTCCCTGGAGCCACAGAAATGTCTCTAAATGGGCTTCCTGTTGTTTCAGAGACTACAGCAGAGAGGAGTTCTGGGCTACAGGGGCTGGTCTTCAAGGACCCAAGGCAGAAGGGGTGGGGCAGCTAGGAGAGCTCTGGGGACTTTGTGGTTAAAAAAAGGTGAGGAAGGATCTGGTTCGCCTCCCTGGGGGTTAGCAGGTAGATTCTGACATGTGATAATATAATAACAGCTATTAACAATATAATTACTGCGATTATGTAGTATGATAATAGACCCCTGGGGCTTAGCCAGGGTTTCCCACATGCTGGCTTATTTTCTTCAATCTACTCCCTTGGATGGTATTGTTCTCACTCTATGGATAAGGAAACAGAGGCTTAGAGAGACGGAGACTTGCTGTAGCTGCTTCAGGGTTGTCTGAATCCAGAGTGTGTTCAGGGTTCACCCTGCCCATTTCACCGGAGAAACGGTGGGGGGTGGGGGCATGGGGGGGCAGTCTGCAGAGGTGAAGTTGGCTGGTGATGGGTATCTGGGACCCTCTCTACCCTGACTGGGCTGGGCTGAAGGGACCCCTCTCAGCGACAGACTGAGCCCTCCTACCCTCTGCCATACCTGGACCCGAAAATGGGGCGCCAAGATCCCCCTGGTGGAGGACCCAGAAGGGGAGATACCAGCCCTCTTCCGGTCCCCTGGCCCTTGGCCAAAACCAGTGTCCCCAGCAGTGAGAAAAGACTGTTTCCAATTTCTCCTTCTCCTGACCCCAATTTCCCTCGGGTCATCGGCTTATCAGAAAAAGGGAGTGAGGCCGGGCAACCAATGTGTTTCCATTGTTAACAGAGAAATTCAATTAGGGCTGCACTGCGGGAGGAACAGCGGCCCAGCTGAGCAGGCAGGCCAGGAGGCTGCTTTCCCTCTCAACTTCCGAAACGTGTCTTCCCCGACCCCCGCCCGGGCTCCTCCTCATGACTCTCTCCAGCTCCCACCCTGGGTGCCCAGATTTTTCTCCCTGGCCCCTGCCCCCGGTGAGGTCTCACAGGAGACTTGGCGGTGGGGGCGCGGTGTCCACCTCCGACCGAGGTCCTCATGGCTGAGCTCCCTCTGTTCTGGGCACTGCCTGCCGCCCCTTTTCGCGAGGGTGAAGAATGTGTGCATTCTCTGGGGGTAAGGTGAGGGTTGAGAACCGAGGGTCCCTCACAGGGTCTGTACACAGGAGAAGGGCCTGGGCTCCAGCTACCTGTCAAGCATATGGAGTCTCGGGGCAACTGAGAAGGAGCCTTGCATACACTTGGGGGTGGCGGAGGGCCCTCCTGCTCTAAGCCTCTGGGGTTAGTGGTAAAGAGACTTTCAGAACATTCTGAACTTAGTACTTTTCCGGAGTGGACAGGTCTATGGATGGATGGACGGTTGCATCCCCCGTGGTGGTGGTGGGAGCTCAGGCAACTCAGTCTGGGGAGAACAGCACTAAATTTAAGCACTCCTATTTCTTTCTCCCCATCTCCTCCCCTCTCTGTCCTGCCACTGCCACCCCCTCATCTCCTTCCGGCTGCCATGAATGAGGGCCAAGTTTGTCCATGATGTCCCAGATCCAGGCAGCGCCCTTGAGGCCCACATGCTCCAGGAGGGTGGTGGACCCAGACGGAGACCCAGACCCTGCCCTGCTGGTCCTTGACGTGAAGACGGTGCCTTCCTCCCTGCAGGTCACTGAGCAGATGCCAGGGGAGGAAGGAGGCAGGGTCCCTGCTGGCCCCGGAGTGTGTGGGGTGCAAGTGGGTGTGTAAATGCTGTGGGCACATGGGGAGGTGCCAGTGTGGGTGGGCCGAGCATTCTGGGGAGGTGGAGGGTTAGTGGGGTGGAGAGTGGGTATCTGAGGTCAAAGTGGGGCTTAGGTTCTCACTTTCTCACCAATCTGCTTCTAATAACCAGTTTGTTTAACACACAATAAATTACAATCCCAGGTGGGACTCCAAGGCTTGGTCTCACAAATTTTGGACTTTTATAGCATCAGCAGGTTTGGGTGTGAGGGTTTTCAGGCTTTGGTCCCTCCTCCTGGCCTTCTGGATGGGGAATGGGGACAAGTGAGGGGAAGCCAGGGATGCTGTCTCCGGGGGTGTCCACCCAGCCAGCCACACAGGAATGGGCGGGGCTGCAGGTCTGTGCTGGCCTAGGACTTCCCATACCTGCCTGACAACAGAATGTTTCTGCGTCAGGGTCTTCGGTCTGAGTTTCCACATGGCGCCACTGCCCACTGCAGTGCCATCTGTTCGTGAGCAAGGGAAGCCTATCTCTTCTCGAAGCACTCAATGGCTTTGGGTTGAGAGATCAACAAGATCAATACAAAGTCAGATGTGCTGGCCATGGGAGGCTTGAGTTTGTATGCTCGGGGCAGGAAAGGGCCGCAGTGATTATGGGAGGGATTTGTCCCCGTGAGCTCTGCTCTCTGCCTGGTTTGAAGGGAGCAAGGCCAGAAGAGTCTGTTGGGGAGTGTGGGGTGGTGGCTCTCATGTATGGCTCAGCCAGGCCTTGGATTCCAGACCTCCTGATGGCAGTGTGGAGGGGAAGCCTGGAAGGAGGCGTGTGTGGGGAAGCCTGGAAAGGGAGGCTGGGAGCAGCAGGAGGCTGGCCTAGAGCCTTCTAAGAAGTTCCAGACAGGCCCTCAATGATGCGGGAAGGCAGGTGTCTGACTAGAGCTTCCTTCTCCTCACCTGTCCTCTTCCTGGGGGCTCTGTCACAGCAGTGGGGGCTCTTGTCATGCCCCAAAGTGGTGCTGGGCCCTGGGTGTGGGCTGGGAAGTGAGGAAAGGCCTGGAACCGGGCTCACATGGGGTGTATAAGATCTCATGGCTTCCCCCACCAACCTGCAAGGGGACCCTCCTCACCCCTATTTTGCAGATGAGGAAACCGAGGCCCAGGGCAGGGGAGGCAGACACTCCCACCAGGCCCTCAAGTAGCAGGGGCAGGGAGGCTTCCGGTACCTCTGCTGGGGTCTGAAGGTGGGCTCCGAAGGTGGGGGATCATCTTGGGGGCTAACCTAGGCCTGGCACAGAGTGAACCTCTGAGCACTGCAAGAAAGAAGCTGCAGGGAGCAGCCGTGCGTAGGCCAGGGCACTGCAGGGCTCAGGGGCCTGGGCAGGGTCACGAACTGGGGAGCCTGGCGCTTGGCGGGAACGAGCCCAGCCCCTGCTGACTCTGCTAGGGGAGAGTCAGGTGTGACTTCCAGGGACCTGAATGTTTGGTTGGAACCCTTTTGGGGCCCTGGATGAGTCAGAGCCATCTGTAACACAACAGGCTGGTTCTGAAGACGAAGTCACCTGCTGCCTCAACTCACGGCTCAGGTCCCGGTTATTGTGAGAGCTTCCAAGTTCTCCCAGGCAGGGCCCCTTCCTCCAGTCCCCCTCTGCCCAGCACCAACTCTCCAAGGTTCTGGTGTGGTCGCAACCCTATGTCCCGCTGCCTGCCTCCCAGGGGCCCCTTCTGCCCATACCCGGGTCTCGGCAGGCTGGCCCGCCACTCCTGCATTTGCATCTTCTGGCCCTTCGGCCTGCGAAATGCTCGGTGCAGGAGGTTTTAAGACTCCCACTTGGAAATTACTCCTCCTCTGGAATCTTTCCTGGGCTACCCAGACCCTCCTGCCTGGCGGCTTGGGCCAGCCCTCTGGGTCTGAGGTCCCTCGCCTGCCTTGACAGCATGAATTTTCCTGGGCACGGCCAGCCTGTCCTCGTCGTACCACAGCTCAGGCCTCACACTGGTGGCCGTGCCCCCACGGGTGTGTGCTGTGTGTCTCGGGACTCAACCTGAGGGCTCCTCATGTGTGGGGGCATCACAGAGTGCCAAGGTGAAGGGAGAGGAAGTAAACTTAACTGGGTCCAGCTAGTGAGGAGGAAGAGAGGCCTGCTCTTGGGGAGTGCTGGGACCCAAGCAAGGGCTCTCTGCTCACATCCCCATTGCCCACCTGCTGCCTAAGGCCAGGGGAGGGGCAGAGAATGGGGCGTCCCACGGAAAGGGCACTTTCTGAGTCCGCCTGCTGTCCCTGGAACCCCTCCCTCCGCGTCTCAGCTCAGTCTCACTGCCCCCTTCTCCTCAGTGTCACTGGGTCTGCCCCTTCCATCAGTCCCCTCACCCCCATGGGCCCCAAGTGTCACCCATAGCTCTAGCCATGCCACTCGGCAGTTTGAAATCCCATGGGCCTGTGGCCGCGCTCCAGAGCCCGACGGGGGAGTCTTCCAGATGGCACCACTGTTGCCTGTGCACACCTCATACCCTCCCTTGCTGACCCTGACCAGCACGTTCGCCTCTGACTCCAAGCCTTTGCTCACGCCCAGCCCCTTTCCTGGAATGCCGGTCCCCTCTCCTCTCTCTGACCGGCTCTCATAACCCCTTCGTTTCCACGCCACCTCCCCTGAGGAGCCTCAGTCCTGCTTTCCTCCTGCTGCCACAGCCCGCAGGACTCACGGAGAGGCCACCGTGCTGCCCAGCTCTCTGCACTTGTAGGGGGCTTCCTTTTCACTCACACCCCCACCAAGTGGTGAGGTCTGGTGAGGGTGGGGCCTCCTGGGGAAGGCCTCGGTGTATATACAGGGGGTCCCAGGTGTGGGAGTCCTGCCTCTTCTGGGGAGCTGGGCGGTGGGCACGGGGCTGGCGACATCTCGGCCTCCTGCTCCCATGTGTGCAGCCAGAGGTAACTGCAAGCCCCTCTCCGGGCCTCCGTTTTCCCTGGGGCCGACACTCGTTTCCCCTTCATCTGGCCCTGCCTGGCCGTCCAGCCTGGCCTCACCACTGCTGTCGTCCGTGCTGCGCTCTATCACGTGGTCCACCTGGCGTACCCACTCCCCGTTGCACTTGAAGAAGATCTGCGTGGCAGGCATGGCCTTGCACACCAGCAGCACCGGTTTGTTCTTGACGATGTACACATCCTCGGGCTCCACCAGGAAGTGGGGAAGCAGGTCTGGGTTGGTGCCAGGTACCGGGTTGGCCACCGTGGCGCTCTGCTGGGCACCTGCAGCGGGGGGGCAAAGCGGGAAGGTGAGCCGGGGCCTCGGCCAGGCTTTCAGGGCCCTTGGGGGCTACGTGCCCATTCAGAGGCTGGGGTTGGGCCGTGGGAAAGCAGCCCAGCAAATCTAGGCCTGAGCCTCAGTGTCCCCTCTGTAAAATGCGGGGAGCCCACCCACCTCTGAAGACTATGGAGAGGTGAAATGAGACAAGGGTGGGAGTCCCAGCACTTCAGGGGTCCTCCACAGACAGCGGCAGTTAGGGCTCACTGTTACTCAGGTAGAAGTTCAGGGACCTGGGGAGGCAGCCCACTGCCCCAGGAGGTCCAGAGAATGCTGGAAGGAAGGAGAGGACCCCAGCAGGGCAGGTGGGCAGGGTCCCTTCCTCTCCCATGCCAGGCTGTCTCTGGGGCCATTCGGGGTTCATCTGCATTCCTGGCCCCCGGAAGTAGGAGGTGCTCAGAAAAATAGCATGCGGATGAAGGAGGTGAGGGGGCAGCTGCGAGGGGGAACAAGGGGGTGCTGGTGGCAGTGCTACGGGAGAGGCCCAGAGGAGGGGCGGGTGGGGGCCAGGAGACCATGTCTGGGAGCCTGAGGGACGTAGGCCAGGTCTTGCCCCTTCAAGGAGACCTGACTATGGGCTTCCTTCTAATTTTAACTGAAAACCACAACCATCCCACAAGTCATTTGTTGCTAATGACACAGGTAATTGGCTCTGAGGCTTTGGCGGAGGTAAGCCCCCACAGCAGTCTGACGGTCTGCTGCACCGGCAGGACCCCTGGGAGGGTGGAGAAGGGTGAGTTGGGAGGGAGTGGGAGGATGGAGGGGGCTACCCTCAGCCTCCGGCCAGTTGCCCACCAAACAGGCCCCCAACAGCCTGGCTTCCCTCAGGGCCACCGTGATTTCCCCCACAACACACTCTTCCAATCAACAGTGGCCTCTGGGTGTAGAGAGGGAAGAACCTGGGCTTCAGAGACCAATGCTGCGCCTTGCTAGCGGTGACCTTGGGTGAATTAGCCATTCTGTCATCTGTCTGCCCCTCGGGAGAGTCTGGAGGGGCCTCACATGGTCGGCCTCTTGGGTTTTCTACCGTCTACCATTTTTGGGGGGCAGTCCAAAACCCACAGAGGGCTTCTAACCCAAGAAGGCCTGGCTCCCTCTCTGCACGGAGGGCATCCACACTGCCCTTTCTCTGCCGTTTGCACAGGGCCTCTCTTCCCAAGGTGGGAGTCTGCCCTCTCCACCCCAAGATTGCGATTTTGGGGAGGGGATCTGTGCCTGGTCCTGCAGGTGTCCTGGGAATGCCAGCCGAGACGCTGAAACCTGGTGTGACTTCAGGCACACAACCCCACCCCGAACCCATCTCCCCACCTGCCGGAGGGAGCACCCCACTCTTCGGGCCATTGTGAGGAAGAGATAAGGCACTGTGCGTGGTCAGCCCATGCCGGCTGCTGCCAGGGCCTAGTGGTTTTGCATTTCTGATGGCAAAAGGGTTCCTCTCCCTCAGCTCAGCAGCCTTCATAGCAATGTCTTCGTGGTTGAGGGCTGATGAGGAAGCTGAGGCACAGAGCCACCGATGCGTTGCCCTCAGGATGGGGGTGGAGAGTCATGCCCTTGTGTGGGAGGGACACGGGGAGGTGGAGGGCACTTCTGACTCAGCCAGACAGCATCTGCAGGAGGGCCATCACCCCCCCCACACCTCCCACCATGGCCTCTCCCCGGCTTGTCTCTTCCTCTCGTGAACTCTCTTTGGCGGCGGCCCGTGCACTTTCCTTCAGCTCCAAGACAAAAGGCCAGCCTGCCCAGGAACCACACTTGCAGCTGGGACAACAAAGCTCCCTTTTCTCCATCCTGCCCCCTCGGATACACCTCCGGGGCTCTGCCAGTGCCCCCTGGGGTCTGTTTGAGGCTGAGGAGGGTGGGGGTGCAGGCAGAGAGGAGGAGCCACCTAGACATCTTAGAGATGGAAACCCAGCTCCCGGGGGAAGTCACGGCCCTCAGACCCCCTGGCTCAGACCCTGGACTCACAAAGTGTCATGACGTTTGTGATTACACTTGCTCTTCACTGTCACTCAGCTAGGGCGGGGCTGGGGCAGGCTCAGCCCCCCTAAGATTTGGACCATGAACGGGAGCGTGGGCTCCTGCGTGTGGGCCTGGAATGGGGAGCCGGCAGGCCCAGGGGCCTCTCTAGACACGCCATCTCCACAGACCCCAGAGCTGCCCAGAGGAGGGCCAAGCTTGACCACTGAGTGGGGCCTGGAGGGGGCTGGGGGGCAGGGGTCAGCGGCTCCAGCGGGGGATGGGACCCCTTAGTGGCAGGCTCCGGGCTTCCCTGCGCCTCACCTTGCGGAGGCTCGATGCAATGGCCGGTGCCTGCCTGCTGGCTAGGGGCTGGGCGGGCAGGGGTCCCGGCCGGGGATGCGGACAGTGAGTGGCCCTCTAGCCTCCCTATTGATCGCGGCACTGAGCACTGCTCACATCAGCTGCCCGCTGAACCCAGCTCAATCCCTCATGTCTGCATTTAACTGCTAATGAAAAATAAATGTACTGTGACCAATAAGGGACATAGCTCACTTCTCCAGGGCCTCCGTCACGCCACGCTGGTGCGGCCTCCCTTCCTCACCCTGAGGGGAGGCATTTACCGGGTGGACCCAGGGGGCACCCTCCAGGCTGCAGCTATGCCCTCTACCAAGGACACTCTAAGGCCACGGGTAGGGGTAAATTCAGGCCCTGCTGGATGTCCTCTTGGAGCTACTGGAAGCTTCCTGGGTGGCCAGAGCTGGCTTCCCCTCCTCTGGCCCTGGAGCCCGCCTTGTGCTCCACCCTGTGGTCAGCACCTGTGATCTGCCTGACCCCTCACTGTCCCACTTAGGCCTCTTGCCTGAACTAAGGTGGAGCATGAGCCACAGGTCTTTCCCCCTCCGTAGCACAGGCCGCTAGAGTGAGCATCTTTCTCTTTGACATGAATCCTGTACTTGTCTAAAAAAAAGATAACACCAAGCAGTGCATGCTCAGGGCCCAATGATGGGTGATCCTTCCCACAAGGCACAAGCTCTCTAGTTTGCCACAGACCCCACCATTCCCTGTTGCCCTACCCCAGGCCTGCCTCTTCTACTTTCTACTGTGTGCCTGACTCCCATGGGTGTTTCAGGATGGGGCCAAGGGCTTTTGGCTGGCATCCCTGAGTCTTCTGTTCTGGCACAGACAGCTCTCCAGCCTTCCTGCACAGAAACACCTACTGATCCCTCCCAGGCACCACCCCCACCACCTCTAGGTCTCTGCCCACGGTCTTGTGTCTCCAACACCCGCCCCCCGCCAGCACTTCTCTACCTTCTCCTCAGGGCCCAGCTCTACTGCCCCGTCCTCTGGAAAGAGCGGCCCCCCTCCTCACTCTCCCAGGAAACAGCACATATCGTTTTGCCCCCTCTGCACCCAGGGCCTGGCCTCACGGGTGCTGTAGCTCTTACACAGGAGAAACAAGTGGGCAGCTAAGGCCTCTGTCTTCAGCCAGCCTATCCCTCCCTGGTCGCTGCTGCTCAGCTCAAGGCTGCCTGGTGCCACCGTTAGCAACTGGGGCCTGGGAGTGGGCTGCCTGTTGCTGCTGCCCCTCGGGGCCGCCGAGGCAAGGCACCTGGAAGGACTGCTCTACCGGACGGACTCCCGGGGGCAGCAGAAGGCTGCCCGGCACAGGGTCCACCGACCACACTGCCTGGCTCTCCCACTTGCAGAGGACGTGTTCCAGCTGGAGATCGGTTAGAAAACCTCTTTCACTTACTGGCAGATCCCCAATGGGCTCTTGGTCACCTGCATGCAGCTCAGGCCCCGTAGCATGAACCCCACTTCCAGTAAGCCCTGGGGCTGGCCAGCTGGCTCCCAGCTGTCTCGGGAGGGCTGTCAGCTCCCGCTGATGTCCCTGCTCTGGACACCCTATTAAGGGTGGGAGCAACCTTCCAAGCCGCCGTCTCCAGCATCTCCTGCACAATGAACAACGAGGGAGAAGGGCCTGGCAGACCACATAGGTTCATCTTTGTGCACGTGCAGGCAGGTGGGGGCTTGGCCAGACCTGAGCCTGGGACAGACTCCCTCGCCTCCCATAGTGCTCCCATGACCTGAAATGTATTCATTCATTCAATCAACAAATACTTCTGGGGTACCAGACCTGTTCTGGGATACAGTGAGCAAGACAAACACAGTCCCTGCTCTCCAAGCTGGAGAAACAAAACAAAATCGAGAATTCCAGATGTTACTGAGGCTTAGGACTCAGATAAAAGGGGTGCTATTTCCGAAAGGGTGTGGCTGCAAGGGCTCTGGAGGGGAGAAGGGCTCGGGGCAGATCTCTCTGCAGAGGCGATGCCTGAGCGGAGCCCTGAATGCCAGAGCCAATGCAAGAGGGTGTCCGGGAAAGCGAGCAGCAGAGGTTACCCAGCGGAGAGCAGCCAGGCATGTGTGAGGCCCACGAGGAGGTCAGCATGGCCAAAGTGCAGGGGAGGCGGGGAGACTCATGGGAGACAGGGAGCAGGGGCCTGACCTGGGGTCTTTAGGGCCCAGTAAGGAGTTGGGATTTTATTGCAATGGCAATGGGATCCTCTGGAGAGCTGTGTGCAAGAAGGGAATGATGAGGTCTTCCTGCATGAACAGGTGGGGGGAGGCAGGAGGGGCAGTGGGGAGGTGGATGAGGGAGCATCCGATGGAGTGGACCCCATGGCAGACCTGCCCCGTGAGGTCCATCTGGGAACTCTCACCCAGCCTTCAAGTTTCAGCAAATGTGCCACTTCCTCTGGGTTGCCTTCCTGGATCCACACTCTCTGTCACTTGCCCCAGTGCCCACCCCTGTCCCCAGAGCCTCCCTCCAGGGTACATTCAGAATAGTTTGCACACTGTTGTATTTGCTTGGGGCGGAAGCCCAGGATGCTGATGGAGTGTTTGTTGAGTGGCTGAATGACTACCCCTTCTTCTCCCCTGAATTTCAGCAGATCTGCCAAGGGTGGCCACTTCACTCTTGTCCTGC